TGACATTTTAGGAAATAAAGTTCATATAACCATGTATCATAACTTGCTTCGTTTTCGAGGTACAGGGTGACATGGAGCTTCTTTTGGTGTAATTAGATTCAAAATAATATTTCCAGTGGTGCCACAGTGATTTAATTTATCGATATTATTTATGGTGATCATTATACGCCAATGGTTTTTCTGAGTTGCATAATATTTACTAGATTGAACAATTGGGATAGTAAGTTTCTTAACCCCTGTTACATTTATATCTCGCTTAGAAAACAATGAAAAAAGTGCTCTCAAGACACAAATTTAGATTACTAAATAACCTCAATAAGGATAATTTCGAATTCTTCAGACTTTGTCAGTCTCCAACCAATCTAACCATACTGAATTTTGACATCGCTTATACAGGTGGGTCATAAAAAAAAACAAATAATATTTCCAACTTCAACATCCTGTATCTCAAAAACGAAGCAAGTTAGTTAAAGTATCACAAGGAATCACCCCCTGAAGTATGTCGCACTTACTCACCAACACCCTGTATATGATGACTGGAATCTTCCACAGGATGATCTGTATGTTATCTAAACAGATGAAACATGTCAGTGCATCAACATGCCCACCAAATTCGAAAGCAATATTTTTTTCAGACGAAAAATGACGGAAAAATCAACACAGTTTTGCAAAGCGGAAGCTGTATGAGAATAGGAACCTTTGAATATTTCTTCAATTCATCGATTTCTTAGAGTTATGGGTTGAACCTGTCGGTTTTTTACCCTTACCCTTAGCTAAAGTTCCTAAATGGACATGACACTGCTGTTTTGACATTTTTTAGTATATTAGAGTACGAACACTACGACAAGCACTGACAATCAGACATAACCACAAATAAATTGATGGAAAAAGCGGGAACTGACAGTACACGGACGTACATGACATAAATATCAAAGATTTGAAAAATTGAGAGAATTAGGAGAAAGATGCAAGTTTGTGCAGTTTCCAACTGTGAGAACATGGGAAATTAATACAAACTATTCGAATTTCCATCGGAAAACGTGATTCTACAAAAATGGAAACAGAATATGATGCGGCCGGCATGGAATATACAGGGTGTTTCGAAATTCGACCGACAACGTTTGACAGGTGATAGCCCTCGTGATTTCATAATCATTGAGATAGGAACATTCGGTCTTCAAGTGTTCAGTTCTCGAGATACAGGGCGTTGAAGTTGAGAAATGAAAATAGTTGTTTCGCAATATCTCAAGAATAATTGAATATAATGCATTCAACTTCGGTATATGGTTTCATCTTTGAATGGGCCATTTTTTGACCTGGAAGCCATTCCGGACATTTTGTCCAGTGGTGCCCTACAGGGGGTTGTGGCATTTTTTCCTTCCATATTTTCTACGCCACTGATTGAATTTCGATTATTTCCAATTCCTCGAATTCATTGTTCAATTTTGTTCAGAAAATGCATCACCTTCAACTGAGCTGAAATAAACAGTTTTCGAGATATTCGACCCAAAATAGAAGATTGCATAGTAATATTTCATCATTTTCAGTAGTAGAAAATTGCAAAAATATTTTTCTGGTGTTGAGTAGATTAGATACTATTCAGATCTCATTCCATAGCTGAACAGAAATAGTTATTCCACACATGGAGAGAAAACAAAAATTTTCGTAATTTTTTACTACCGAGGAAGATGAAAAATTACTATGCATACTTCTATTTTGGGTCAAATATCCCGATAACTGTTCATTTTAGCTCAGTTGAAGGTGATGCATTTTTTCAACATAACTGAACAAACAATTCGAGAAATTGGAAATAATTGAAATTTCATCAGTGGCGTAGAAAATATGGGAGGAAAAGTTATCACAACCCTCTGTAGCGCATCTCTGGATAAAATTCTCGGAATGTCTTTCTGGTCAAGAAATTAATCAGTGAAAGATGAAACCATATACCGAATTTGAATGCATTATATTAAATTATTCTTGAGATATTGCGAAAAAACTATTTAAATTTCTTAACTTCAACGCCCTGTATCTCGAGAACTGAACACTTCAAGACCGTCTGTCCCTATCTCAGTGATTATGAAATCACGAGGGCTATCACCTGTCAAGCGTTGTCGGTCGAATTTCGAAACACCCTGTATAATCAAGGGTTCAGGCCACAAAATTTGCGAGGTATTCAAATTACTTGGTAGGATATAGATAATTTTTCAACGCATTTTTATCAGGTACACTTCAGAACGGAAGATTTGATATTGAAGAATTGGATCGTATTGAGAGAAAGAGCCGAACCCACAATTTATAAACTGAACGAGTATCAAAAAGAACCTTATACCAATTTAGAACCAACAAGAAACAAGAACTTGCAGATAATGAAATTCTTTTGGAACATATTTTGATAGAAAAAGACTCGAGAATGATCTTCCGATGGCCCGGTTCAAACCAACAATGACCTTTAGCAATGTGAACGGCGATCTATAGTCAGTCGAGCGCTGAAGTCCATTTATACCTACTTCCGTATGTCTTGGAGAACCTGTATTATCCATCCCACAGTTTAAGGAAATACCCATTCCTTAAACTGTGTCCATCCTAATCAACTGTTATTGTTGCCATATCATTTGTTCACTTATTAATAACTTATTACCTACCACTCTTGTACAAGTGAAATTGTACCATACGGAATAAAAGTATGTTTCATTAGTTGAAATTTATCAGTTTTTGCCCCATTCTGAACTTTTGTGATGAAAAAATATTGAACTGAACGTATACATATCGTCGACGAAACCGCAAAACCCAGCAACTGCAAAAACCAAAATTTTCAGGAGACACTAAAAACTTTATAATTTCGGGTTAACTGATCAGATTCAATAAAAAATAGTAACAAACCACCTGATTATTATTATCCCTACGTTTGTACATTGATCATTGAAAAAAGTCATTGTTTACTTTTGTCAGCGTAAGATACTTGGTTTTGACATCTGCTTCTGTGCGAAAGCAACATTTATTCAGAAAAGTAATTCGAAAAAACACGTAACTTCATTTTTCTGGACTTTCCGCTTAACAAATACTTGAGATAAATTTTCACATCCTGTGTTGAAATACCAATTGGAGTTAAGAATAAACTATTTTATACAGTGCTAGTCAAAAGTCCCATCCCCCCCTCGTACCTTTTGAACGGGTATACTTATAATAATGAAATTTGGAGGGTGGAAATAAACGGATGTAGGCTTCTCAACTGGTCATAACAGGTGACGCAATAGTTTATTTCCACCCTCCAAATTTCATTATTATAAGTATACCCGTTCAAAAGATACGAGGGGGGGAGGGGACTTTTGACTAGCACTGTATATTTGTTTTACAAAAAGTCACTCACCAATTAGCAGAGCTTGATCTCTGTGGAAAGAAATTGAACACAAAATATCAGAGGCGTGAATTACGTTGCCAACTGTTAGATACTTGTTTTTGACTAGAGTCCCTGTATGTATTTGACACTTTTGCTGTAATAAGAGTACGGACACTATGACAAGCAGTGACAGAAGGCATAACCCTAAAAAATTTGAAATGACATGAACAATTTTGCGGGCACTGACAGTTCATGAACGTACATGACATTAAATTATTTGAAAATTCAGGTTTTCAAAAATTAAAATGGCTAATTGTGTAGTGGAGAATTGCAAAAATGGAAGCGAGTCCTTTCATTTATTCCATTTCCCCCATTCTAACCAACAAGTACATATACCCTTTGTCAAGTATATCGAGAAATACTTTCAACAAATGGATTTACAAACTATGACCCCTTTTCGCCAGTGAGATGAGACACCACTTCTTTATGAAAATAAAGACAGAGAAAGATATATGGATGTACCCTTCACCGCGGCAGTAGAGGATAGAAGATCCGAAGTGCATGGAAAAGCATATCCATTTCTTTGTTCAAAAGTCATTTTGAGAATTTGGGGTTATGCCTTCCGTCACTGCTTGTCATAGTGTCCGTACTCTTATTACAACAAAACTGACAAATATATACAGGGAATTATACATACAGGGACTCTATTTTTGACGACCCCTTTTATTTTGTTTTTCAGATACGGGCTTTTGTATTTATGGATTTTAAAATATTTACAATTTTTAACCAGTTATGAGGTTTTGCATACGCATCCCCACCAATATGATAGACCGATTGCCGCCAGAATCCCATTTTCGAATTTTCGTCAGTTACTTGGTTTTGCGGTTTCGTCGACGATATAAGAGACTCATTTCATAGGAATAATATATGTATTTCGTTGGTATATGTATATGTACATACCAACTTGATATCGACCTCCATTGAGGTCCTTATTCAGCCTTATCATTCAATATTTCGAGAAGAAATAATTTTCTAATCATTTTATCATACCCTTTTTCCTACTCGAGGAGACGCTATGCACTCTCGTGCAAAAATCAAAGACAGAGAAAGATATATGGATGTACTCTTCCCAGGACTTGTGAAGGATGAAAGATGCGAGGATCCCTTATCTAAGCGAGAAACATATTCTTGTCCTTGTCTGGCAAAACATATGATTTGCTTCAAAATCGTTTGTGGTTATGTTTGATTGTCACTGCTTGTCTAGTGTCCGTACTCAAATATACGAACGTCAAAACTGCAATGTCAAGTACATTTAGGAACTCTACCCTTAGCTACCAATTTCAGACATTCGAAATATTATGGAGAAAAATCAGGCGTTTCAGTTCAATCTATGGGGGCTCAATTATTTTGCATATAGTCGTAGGTGCATAGTTTGCATAATTTGAAGCAACAGAACAAAACATTCAACAGTGTTTATACATGTATATCACAAGATATTTTGTAAAATTCTAGATATTTTGGAGATTTGAAGAGCAGACACCAGTCGCTCTCAGTGTATATTTCCATTTGATATTATCAAAGTGACATTGAGCAAAAATCAAGGTTTTGTGTAAAAAAGCAGGTATGGTGAGAGAAAATCAATTTATATTAAATAATGCCAACAGCAAAGAAATAATATATTTAAACATTTAAAAATATTACAGTGACAAAATCATTATCAATTTATAAAAATATTACTTAACAATTAATGCCATAGTCGATACAATTCATAAATTACAGAGGAAATAACAAATGAAAATATACACAATAGAAAAAAACTATGGTCTATGTTATATTAATTTATCTAAATCTAAAACATAAAAACCAATATAATACAAATACAGGGTCGCATTTTCTACCTAGCCGATAGTCTTTAGTATCTATCAAAATTAAATAAAATGCCAGAAAGGCCCACCTAGTGGTAGTCCAGGGACAGAATAATGATGACAATGTGAATGTACAAGGCTCAATATGTATAAATAGACGAAACATAAATGATTCTTGCTTATCGCAGAAACCCCACTGAAGATGAAACGATGGTCATATGAACACTAAATCTTGTGATATTTGACACTAAGTATCGTCGGACATAAATGAATTTTGTGACTTTAATTCTTCTAGTTCCTTGATTTGCTGACGTAAAAATAATATTCTGAAAACAAAAACATTCGTAAGTACAAGTGAATATAAATAAGAACGTGATGTTCCCAATATTATTGAATATAAAAAATCGTTTCATAAGGCTCATATTAAGGATCTATTCGTTAATTCCGAAATCATGATGGTTTTGGTTGACTTGCAATAAAACAATTGTATTTATATAACATACAATAAAATCATTACTTTAGATATGAAAAAAATGTAGGTGAAACTAATATTATTTGAACAACATATACAGGCTGATTTTAAAATAAGTGCAAATATTTTAAACACTAAGAAAGCTTGAGGTATACTACCGAATAGCACTATTGAAAATATTATTAGGATCAAAATAGATTTGGGGCAAAATACCCTTTTTCCGCCCAGATTTCTACTTCTGTCACAACTATCGTTTGCGATCCGCAGTCGACCGTGATGAACGAAGCGACGTTGCCACTCTATATGAAAATTAGGAGATATTAAATAAAATGTATAATCGAGAAAATGTACATGGGGAAGAAGTTAACCCTGGTCTTGAATTTCAGAAAGATAATACAAAAACTTCAAAATGGACTCACCCAAGATTTCTACACATAAGCTCGAATAGCGTATAACTTAACACCTCACGGTTGGAAGTTATTTTACTGAAAAATCCTTTAGACCCTTCCTTCCACCTCCTTGCATCGCTACAATTTCGTGGTCTTCGAGGAGTCTCATGGGCCCCGCACAATAACGACCCGACATAAGAACCATATCATTCAGCTCAATGTTTGAGAAATGCATCGTCACATTCCAAGCAAATTGTCAGAAACAAAACTTTACATTTTACATTTACTAGTATCACGTTTTGACGTTTTCCAAAATAACATACATTCTCAGAACAACAAACTGTCAAGAAAGGATCTTTGTTTTGATTGTTCTTATGGTGTGCTACCCCTACCAGCAAGAATTCAGATGACCATGAATTACTAATAGGCGACTTTTACGGACCAATCAGAAACAGCAAAGTAGTGCCTGCGTGGTTGCGATTCATCCTGATTGGGCACAGGTGATTGAGATTAATGTATTAGTGAGGAAGGATCATATCTTTAAATGAAACTAACATTTTCATAAAAAACTAATTTGGAAAAAACATCTATTAGTTTAATTCAATGAAATGATACTTCCTCACTATACACTAATCTCACAAATCCAATCAGCTGTGTCCAATCAGGATGAATCGCAACCACGCAGGCGCTACTTTGCTGTTTCTGATTGGTCCGTAGAAATCGCCTATTAGTAATTCATGGCCATCTGAATTCTTGCGTCCGAAACTTTCAGAAGCATGCGCAGTTTCACAGAACTGTATGATTTTTTGGGTTCTGTGGACTTGTGCATGCTTCTGACGGTTTTGGATTGTTTATTTTCTGAACGCGAACAATCCTAGTTAGAACTGTCAAAGGTCACAGCAAAGAGGAAATCTATGGTTACAGATACTACTGTTCTGAGAAATGTTGTTGACAGATCATATGATAACAATAATAGTTTTGTTTGTGTGTTTGTAAAATAATTGTAAACGTTAAATAAAAAATAAAATAATTGGATGTTGTGTCTTGTGTTGTGATAATCGTGATGTGGTCGTGATTTTCAATGCGAGATTGCCAGGAAGGATATGTCGTCGTCGAGTCGTTTTCGATGATTTAAGTGCGAATATGAACCAACAAGAACACAGGACGATATTAGTCTGGAATGGACTCGATATTAGTATTTGTTTGCTCTCGGGAGTTTTGCTGTTCGAGCAGGTATGAGAAAATCTACTAGGTGAGTCGATTTTCAACTTTGTGGAAGGAAGGGGGACGTTCTATCATTCCCCATTTCTATCCGTCTCTCGTGATCCATGGAGATAATCACCCCACAGTTCTCTCAGTGAACTTTAAAAAATAAGGCTCCTGTACATATCACATTCACCTCTATTAGTTTCCATAACCTATTTCAATTCATATTCATTCTGTGACAAATTTTTATCAGGATATTCGTCTCTGAAACAATCTGGCATCACTGTCTTGTTTTGACTTTAGTGAATGACGAATTGTAGATTCCCTAGGATTCCGCAGATTTCACTTGCTTCCCAGTGGCGTACTCGAATTTCGAAGCATTTTATGTTCAATTTTCAAAATGAAATTTCTCGTTAATGTGAAGACTTAGGAAAAATCAAATATTTTAGTAATTTTTGTTAGACTCTCTCATATATATGTCTTGAATATATGCACTCATTTTAAAATCAGCCTGTATCTGGCAATAAATTCATAAGAGAATAGAACATTTTCACCGAATTTGTCATTTTGTAAGATACCTATCGATGTATTTTCCACGTTTTTCAAAATATTCAAAGCCTTCTTTCAAAACTTCGTAGCTGGTACACCTGATGTTGTTCATCAAACAAAACTTTATCCATTTCATTTCAATCAATATATTAACGAAGTATTTCGTTTCTAACCTGAAAAAGAATCACGGTTTCAATTTATGTTCGATCGCCACGAAATTGGCCGAGCTCTGGGGGAAAACGTACGAAGCCGAAGGTTAAGAAAGTAATTCAGTGAATATTTACCTCTGTTCCTGTAATGTTGCCTGAATCTCCGTAAGACGAACTATTGACCTAGCAGATTTGAGTTCTGCAGAAACTTTCGAACACTGTATACTGCCCATTATATGTGCATCTTCTGCTAATTTTTGCGCCTAAGATAAATGAGAAATTGGATCATTGTTAATTGTTAATTCGTCATTTGGTTCTCCCAGAAATAGATGAAAACCTTATTTTCAATGTGAATTACCTTCAATGTTCATCTATTTCTAGGATATCCTGTACATATTTCATCTAATGTTATTATCCTTCATTCAAAGAACATATCAAGTTGTATTAGATATTTATTATCATGGTATTTATGTTTCTTAAAAAGTGAAAAGGAACAAACATGTTTCAGATATATCCAGATGTGATTCTCCAAATTCAGACTTCCGTCAAAATTTTCAATAGCAAACTGATCATTAAGGTTCCTCATTCTCTTTTTCAATCTACAATGCCACTATCTATAGCTAAGTTAGAAGACATGCGATTCCAACCAAATTTGGACTTTGCGATGACATGAAAACTACGAACACATTCCTAAAGTCCGTTTGACACGGCCAGTTTTTCACTCATAAAATGGATCATTATTGAACACAATAAAACATTCAGAATAATCTGAATAATTTTCTGTGGGAAAATGCTGTGCTGTGTGACATGATAAAATCACAGATAAGATATTTTGACAAGGGGCATACACAGGTTATGAAATCATATAATATGCAGATGCACATGTCGGTTGTGCGTGTATAGCAACCTCAAAATATATTCTCGAAAGATGATATTCATAATTGAAGAATGGTATAAGTAATAGTTCCTCTTAAAAAATATCTGTCTGTAGTTCTGCAAAAAAGGGTGCCATGCTCGGCGTATTTGTTTAATAAAATCGGAATGGAAATAATATATAAAAATAGTCTCCAAAGAAGAAACGCCCGTGGGCTAGGAGTTCTGCATATGGTACAGAATGAACATCTTTCTGGAAACCCTGTATCATATAAGTATCTACAAATTTCATTTTTGTTCTGGACAAAATAAACTAAAAAAAGATACAAATATGCCAGAAAGTATTTCACCAGAAATACGGTAGGTACTCAATCCACATTTCATTTTTGTCAAAGCATATCAAAGAGTCAACTCGAGCGTTTCTGGGTGTTTGATTGCAAACAAACAAGGATATTTTTGGTATTCTTCAATTAAAGCACCACCCAATGCTCCGAAGACAAAAAACAATATTAAACTGATGTTATCTAAATTTGAGATATCAGTAAAATTAATCAGTGGACATATAAGGCCTGTTCGTTTGTGCTTGCTCAACCTGCTAAACTTGATTTTTTTCTATGACTTTCTTTGTTTACATCATGGCATGAACAGAGACAACTATGTGAAAAAGATCAACTTTAGCCAGTTTAGCAATACAAACGAACAGGCCTATTGTATTTGTGATTTATTTTACATCAATTACCTTTTCAAAATACCAACAATAGGTCGCGTGCACGATGACTGACCCTGGAGGTAAAATATTGAAACACAACCTCATTCTTCTGTTGAACATTGAAACACAACCTCACTTATTTATCTGTTTACAGAGGAATCAAAGGATTGAAATAGTTTTTCACAATATTTTGGCATGCGAATCGTGTTTTTACGCTATTCATTAATTCAAGCATGCCTTCTTATTGTGCTGTTGTACAATACACAAAAAACGCAGCCAGAGACGAGGGAATATGATTTTTCAGGTAAATAGTAATCTCACATAGTTTTCATTATAAAATTTTGTCATTTCTTATTAAAATTCCTTCTGCCACTGCTGCAATAGAAGCTAATACTGCTAATAGATTGAAAATGGATACAACATACACGATAATATTTCGTCTGCATGTCAGACCAGTCCTCCCGTTTGATTGCATGAATTCAATCTTCTTGCATTATTTTAGAAATTTCACGAGTTTTTCTATTAGCTCCTATTGCAGAAGGAATTCAATGAGAAATCAGAGAAATTACAAAATTAAAACTATATGTGAGTGACTATAGTAGGTACTAACTTTCAAATCATAATGTACCAACCGGATTCCTTCGTCTCTCCCTGTATTTTTTGTGCATTTTACAACAGCATAATGTGATGGCATATGCGAATTGATGAATAGCCGAAAAACACGATTCTCAACGCCAAAATTATTGTGAAAAACTATTTCAATCATTTGTGAACAAATAAGAAAAGTGAGGTTGTGTTTCAATGTTTCACCTCCAGGGTCGGCCATCTGATAGTTTTTACACGCAACCCATAACAAAGTTACATTGCCATAACCTCAAAAAGTTTTTTCTAACTTCAAAACAAAACAAACAATTCGAAGGTTAAATAACGGCGTTATGCGCTATCGCTTCAACATAAAATGACTGAAGAATAAGACATGTTCTATTTTTCATCCAACTTTGCATTCAGGCTATCTGTTTCTGTAATACATGGTGCAGTAATTTCTGAATACAAATTCTCATTCAGAAAATGAATGAAAAACTGGCCCGTGTCATACGGACTTAAATCCTGGCTCAGATTGAAAGTTTCCCGTAGTTTTTATGCCATCGCAACGTCAGATAATGACCTTGGATAATGCAAAATCGTATAAAAGGTTTCAAAAAAACGGGCACCTAAATAATGAAATTTACGAAATTCATTCCGTTCATCAAAACAGAACATTCTTGTTTTTCCAAACCATCATTTTCTGCCTATCTGAATGAAATTTATTATTTTTCGGAGGACCATGGATGATAAATCATACCGAATCTGGCAATTTGGAATGAGATGAAATTTTGCAGTTGAGCACAATCTTCCTCTAAAAAATGCCTACTGTTATTTTGCAATACTAGTTCAAATTTGGTTGGATGCATAGCAAATCCATAAAGGATATAAGATTCACGTTTATCGAGTTTTATTTTAAATGTAAAAAGTGTTGAGCTAGAAAACACAATTTTGCAACAACATACTTGTTTTATTGAGAATAGAATCTGCTTTTTGAAAGAGTTAATAATTTGAATATATTCAATTTGAGTACATTAAACTTCCAGTTTACTCACTAGATGAATATAATACCATTCAATTCGATGTATTCAATTTTTCCCAATAATATAAAGTGTATATTGAACATGAATGAATAAACACATAAATAAATAGATGACTATGTTTTTGAATAATCAATGAACAAAAATCATGCGACCTTACCTGTTTTTCTATCAATTCCGCCGGCCAACCCCTGACATGATTCACCAGATCATCCCTATAATGATTGGCTAAAGACGGTGTTATTGTTGGCCCTTGCGGTCGTAAGGCTTGTAATGAACTAGACACTCCTTGAAGGGTTTGTAAACTCCCAGGGGGACTACTAACAGGTACTACTACGGCTGCAAATGAAAAAACCGAGGTAATGTTACCGCTAATTTTGGTAATATTACCGCAGTATCAGTAACATTGGATATATTGTTTTTTTACGCTCTATACTCTCATTTATTTGCCCAGCTCTAGTTTGGCGTTACTGGAGCCGCGCGGCCGCTTCCTGAACATATCGATGGGGGAATACCCGAAATCTGAGTTGTCACAATTTTGTGGTTCGCCGTGGGCCGTGGCAAGCGATATTTTGTAAACAGTCTTCCTGTTTTCATCATAATTAGTGACATTATTGTTATAAAGGGTGTTGTTTATAACTATTATAACTATCAGTGCGATTTCTATTAAATTACTGTAATTATTTTGCCTTATTACGTGATATTTGAACTGGTGTCTGAATATTTTCAAGTGGACCTCTTCCCAAAATGCATGATGTTTATTTTGTAGTTGCGATAATATGGTCAAGCCAAAGAGTGATGTTTGGAGATACTACGATCTTAAAGATAAAGACAACTATTCCTGTGAATATTGTAAAACCTCCATTAAATAAATGTTACCAGACAATTCCAACATTTGCTAAAATGTGTCAAAATACCTGAAAATGTGATTGCCTGTAAGAAATTTTTCCGGTAGTAACAATAACACCACGCCAAGTACAACTGAAGCATTAGAAGATAGTGATACTGATACTATTGATACTGAAACTACCTCTCAGCAGGGGCAGGGAGAATTGACTGCCTCAGAAATTGCTTCTCTAGTCAGGCCTGTGCCTTCATCAGCTAGTTCTTCATTTTCAAGTACTTCTAAAGCATCACAGGGTACAATTTCTTCGTATTTTGATAACATGTCCTCTCAAGAAAACGAAAACATTGGTGAAATACTCACAAGGGCTATTTATGTCTCAGAAGCCCCTTTACATATGACAACGAGAAAAGTATGGTTAGATGTATTTAAAACAATGAGATGTGTCAAATCCACTCCTCGAATCCGAGTACACTAGAGTAAAAACTGCAGTTTCTTCAAAAATTAGTGAAGCACCTATCTTGAGCTTACAGATGGATGGATGGTCAAATTGCAAAAATAACTCTATATCTAGTTTTTTTTATTAATACACCTCTTCCGGTATTTTATAAATCAATACATACCAAGGATACCAGACATTTAGCAACATTTTTGGCCTCAGAAATTGAAAAAGTGTTGAATTAATTGGGACCTTCAAATTTTCTAGCTATTGCTGACAACGGCTAACATAAAAAAGGCTCGTGAAATAGTTAGCAGCAAGTACAATTACATTTCTAATTATGGTTGTATTTGCCACGGTCTAAACCTTCTGGTTGAAGACAGAATCCAGTTGAACAAAACGGGGCGATACATCTCTTTGAAATTGCCGGTGAAAACAAGATACTCCTTTGTTTCTTGTCTAAAAAGCTTTTTGGACACTAAACATTCATTGAAAAGTTTAGTAGTTGATGATGGCTCAGATATTTCTGATGTTCTTTCATCGAATACAGTAAGACTTCTTCTTCAAAACGAATTTTTCATCCAAAGTATTCTTCACAAGTAGATCTTATTATGAAAGCACTCGCACAGTACAAAATTAGAGGTGGTAATACTTTTGCTAAGGAATCCGTCATTTCCAGGCAGGAATTTGCTCCAGTTCTAAAATGAGTAGATTGGCTGTAGACATTTTAAATTTACCATCGTCAACAGCCGCAACTGAAAGAACCTTTAGTACTTATGGATTTATTCATCGGCAAGGAAGAAACAGACTTACCGTGAAAGGGTCCGGAAAACTAACTTATATTGTCCATAATTATAATTCACTAATTGGAGAAGATCATTCAAGAATAGTAGAAGCTGTTGAGGAAGAAATAGAAGGAAAAAATATCGGTTTTGAAGTTATAGACACGACTCAAATAACGAAAGAGAAAGAAAAATCAGATGACGAGGTTAGGGATGATGATGAGGATGATTTACCATTATCCACTCTATTACGTAGTCCACTCTCACTCTGACTAGTTAAAAAAAAATTCTTGTTGTTTTTCCTAATGTTTTTACAGTTTTGAAATAAAAAAAACTTGTATTACTTAAAAAAAGCTATTTTTTTTTAAATTACCAATGTTACCGAAATATTACGTAATATTACCGGTAATATTACCGATTTTCAAATTACCGGTAATTTTACATCCCTACCCATCACTCACCCTTCGCACAATCGGCCGTCTCGGAGTGCGTCGGCGTAGGCGGCCCCTCGGTCGCGACCGCCTGGTCGCCCGTGTCCACAGTCAGCGGGGCGGCCACCGCCGCGAGGGTGGGCAGCTGCTGCGGGTGGTGGTCGCCCGCCCGCTTGTCCGCCCCCCCGCCGTCCGCGACGGTCTGCGGGGCGGCGCGTTGCAGCTGGGCGGGCGCGGCGCTGCCCGGAGGGCCCGGCGTGTTCGATATGGTGACGGGCAGGGCGGCGGGGGCGTTCTGCGGCGGCGCTTCTTGGTGGTAGGCCGAGCTGGGCAGACGAAGATCAAGATATAGATAGATAGATAGATAGATTTTTAGTGATTTGAGGTACTTTCCATTACACACGTCAGTAGTTTACAGGGTAATCATTTGAATATTTGTGAAATACAAACAAATAATAATAACAAATGAAGACCACAGGGGAAAAAGGAGGAATGTCACAAAAAGTAAGTTTCGAGATAAACGCATTTAAATGTTAAAAACCTCTATACTTTTTGTCAAGTTGGAGGAAACTAGAATTAAACCACCTGGACTCATTTGAGGGAGTATGGTAAGCAATGAAGTTGAACAACTAGAAATAAAAATCAAATTTGAATGAAAAAATCATCGAAAACAAAAAATAAGTCCTAACATTCAAAGGAAAAATGGGGAATGTCCAAATGAATTGTCAAAAAACTGGATTGTTTACTTGCAATTATCTGCTCTGGTAGATTCCTTCATTCTTGTCTGGCTACTTAATGAGCGGTAAGTTGTCAATATTAGATCATAGATGTATTAGATCTACATTTGAATCTTGATTTGATTGTAACATGGATTCATTGCATGACATAGCAGAGCAAGCAGAATATTGCAACGCAGATGCCTAGTACTCCAATAATATGGAACTTTTTGAATGATAGACCTAGGAGTCGATTTTGGGTTAATCCCATTAATAATGTGCATGCAAGAATTCTGCATGGAGACCATTAAAATGTATTACAAGAAAAACGACTCACTGATGTAAATAAATATTTCAACCATTTAAGGATGACACCTGATTTATTCCAAGTTTTGCTCAAATTAGTTGGTCCTCTGTCGAAAATGTCGCAAGTCGACCATTAACAGCAAATTGAACTTTTCCATTATAATATTATTGGCGCTCGGTTTTCATCGTTCCGCGTCAAAGCCACGTCAAAACTGGAGGAAAACAAACTCAATCCTCAGTCAATCCCATTAGTGCCATTAGCTTGTGTACTGTGTACTGATGAGAGTGATAAGTTTTTAAATTTCTTGACATTAATTGTCAATATTCGATCGAAAACGCTAATAATGCCTGTTGTAGATGTTCTTTTGGCAGGTATTTTGCTCTATTTAGATGGAAAAAGCCGAACAGTAGTGGAAGGAGAAGCAGTTCTCCGTGCTAATCATGTGATTTTGTGTGAGGCAGAAGACTTCAACAAAAGGCACATTTTTGCACTATGTCTGCAAACTTCGGCGATGAAATCTTCCCCACATGAAGTAAAATTGAAGTTGAGGTCCAGAGGAACTCCTGTAGAACAATGGATTTGTATTTGTTCATGTAAAGCAGGACAAGCTGGGTATTGTAAACATGTTGTAGCTGTTCTTTCATATGTCAATTGATTTGCTCGCCATAATTAGTTTGAATTGTTTCCATTTCTTCACCCGTTCACTGTTCACTAAACTAATAAAAATGTAATAATGTAAAAAAATTAACCAACTCAACCGTCATCAATACCAACAGTGCCAACACTTTATGTCATTGACAAGTTTGACTACAGCTACAGCAAGCTGAATGCAATGTAGTCTATGCACTTTATTCATAGACAACAATTTGTTTTCCCCCAGTATGAAGTTCGAATTATGTAACCTAGATGTCGCCCACTTCGTGAATCTCGCGAATACCAATATTACTGCTGTCACAGTTTAAATAATAGCATAGCATCAAATTAGACAAAGATGTGAAACTGTTTGCCGCTGAAAAGTAAAACTTGGACCAACATCCAGCATCATGACCTTGAGAAAGTGGCAGCTAAATTTGGGAAAACATGATTGGCTCCCCGCGAAAAGCTAGCAGCAAGAAGCTGGTGTGGAAGGTCGCCTTTATTACAGCAAAACTGTCAAATACATACAGGGACTCTACTATACACGAGTTCTTACCTCACTACGGGCGTCGTGGGAACGTGTATGGGATGCGATATCAGCTTTGGCAAGGCGTTCGCCAGAAGGACGGGTCCCATCGCGTGCGCCTGATCGTTTTGACCTTGCGACTGTCCGTTGCCTCCGTACGACACTTCGGACGTAGGCGTGCTGTCTCCAGGAGAGATGTCCATGTCCTGAATGAAGCATTCGAGTGATGAAATATATCTGCAGATTTATGTGACAGTTTGAACTCATAACCTGGTTCAACCTTTTCGCTGCGGATGGCGCATAAATGCGTCATTTAATTGTCGTGCGGATGCGGATGCGAAAAGTTTCAATAAAGAACTCAATATCATAAAACAGATTGCAGTCAACAACGGATACAACGTTAATTTGATAGACAGTATTAGTATTCTGTCTCAAAAACCCCTCAAGAACTTCATCCAACCATAAAAAAAATAATCAAAATTATAGAACTTTAACCTATTTCGGATCATCAACTGAAAAATTAGCTTCATTTCTACATAAACAGGACTTAAAAGTAGCATATAGAACAAATAAAACGTTGGGAAGGTTCATCAAAAATAATGAAGAGAACATTTCTAAATTCGGAAAATCAGGAGTATAGAAACTCAACTGTGGATCTTGCCCTAAGGTATATATTGGTCAGACAAGTTGTACGTTTAATCAGCGCATTCATGAACATAAGATGAATTTTTTGAAAAATAAAACAAATTCAACATACGCCAAGGAAGAAAACCATAATTTTGATGATAATATCGAAATTCTACACGTAGAAAATAAAGGAATAAAGCTCAATCATTTTGAATCATTAGAAATTAACAAACTCAAAAATTCTAACATTTTTTGAATTGACTCGACCGTTACTTGATGGAAATCCATGGCAAATGTAAAAATTTCAAAAACGATAAGATTTCCACAAAATTCTTAAACACACATGTTTCGCTAACACAGTAGCTTCGTCAGGTGATATACTGGATCTAACATTTTACTCAACGATCAACTAGACCTCAATAGTTCGCCACAGTCGAATTTGTTTTCATAATACGTAATAATATGCATTTGCTATCAACCCTTTCAAGTTGATCCGTGAAAATGAAGATTTATGGAACCTTTCCACAGGTAATTCTAATCCTTCAGGTTGGAAAGTAGGATATATATATGTATATATATGAAACAAGTGTATATTGGGAGTAGCAGCAGTGTAAAAGGAATACTCTTTAAAGTTTATCCGAGCTTTCGGAAATGTTTATTTCCATCATCAGGAATAATCTTTGATGAGGTTGGTTACAACGTTGTTAAAAGTATAAAATTGTAAAATATATGGTGACATGCTGTGAGATATTGCTTACGTGGACACATAGGAGACTAACATTTGTATAATTACACTTACACTCCGTCGGAGGTAACTGAAACTCCATCCCGCTAGAGTACATTCGAGTGACGCCTAAAACATTGCAAATTGTAAACTTCGAAAAAAATGATAAACTTTGAAAGGCTTAATCTCGAAAACTATTGGGTCTACAGAGGGTTATAATCGCCAAAATTTGAAAAAATTACGATTTTTTCGCGGTTTTTTCGATTTTTGACAAAGTTGCGTTCGGTGCTCGAGGTCACAAACTTGGATCATTCATTAGGGCAACATTATGAACAAGTCTGCAAAAAATCAGAACTACCGGATTTGACGCATACTACCCCCATATTTTCAGGCGACAAAGTTACTGGACTAAATACCTGCGTCGTCTGCAGATTCTCTTCGGACTGCTTTCGCGAGAGCCGCGAGTCCTTGGCGGCGGCCTCGCTGCCGTCCTCGCGCCCTGAAGCGCTCCAGTGGCGGCCGCCCGCCGCCCCCTCCCTAGCGTGGTCCTTGCTGCTGCCGCTGCTGCTGCTGTTGCTGCTGTTCGTCGCTCGCGAGATGGAATGTTTCTCGTGTCCTACAAGAATTTTCACTTTCAATTTCTAAAGTTCCTGAATGTACATGACACTGCTGTTTTGACGTTTTTTGTATATTAGAGTACGGACATTATGACGAGCACTGACAATCAGACATAGTCTATAAATTCAACTGACAGTACTGAATCTGCTGATTTTTCATTCCTAAATCAAAAAATTCACTGGAAGTGACAGATGCTTGTGAGCAGACATACTATTCATTCCAAATATTTCGACTCAACATTCTGCTGAAATTGCTGAGTATCAAAAGGTAGTGTGGCTTCAGTGAATTGTCATTATTTTGTAGGGGAAAGGAATGTAACTTTTATTTTCGTTGTTGGTGATATTTTCAATATCAGAAAATACCTGTTATTGAAATAAGTCGAAAATAATTTGGAGTATGAAGTAGTATAGGTAACGAAAGAAGAAGCAGCATTGGCTAAATAAATAACTAAATAAACCAGGAATGTCTCCTAAATCCATCATCATTATGTGTTCCATGAATCTTTCAATACTCAATCTGGTGCATCATGAAACATCAATGGCAACAAAATGTCCAAGTATTCTTCATCACTCGAGCTTGAAACGGCTTGAATCATCGTCAATAATCGTAGAAACTATGGAGGCTAAAAGAATCGATTGCTATTCTATGTTAAATATTAAATTTCCGAAATTTATATCAAGCAGGAGGCTAAATATCTAGTTCAGATAAACGAGAAACTACAGACTCACAAAGTTCACCAGCTGATCAACTGCTGCTGACTACTGATGAAAACCATGAAAACGCTTTCCGTATAACAGCACTGTATTTTTTATTTTTTATTTCAGAACACAGATTTTCAGCAGATTCAGTGGATCTACTGACAGTACTGACCAGTTGAATTCGGATTATAGCCATAACCACAGTACACGGACGAACATGACAGAAATTTCAAAGATTTGACAAATTGAGAGAATTAGAAGGAAGATGCAAGTTTGATCAGTTTACAACTGTGAGGAATCGAGAAATCAATTCACTCTATTCGAATTTCCATCGGATAACGTAATTCTACAAAAATGGAAACAGAATATGATGCGGGCGGCATGAAATATAGGTTCAGGCCACTAAATTTTCGAGGTATTCAAATTTCTTAATAGGATATAGATCACTTTTCTACGCATTTTTATCAGGTACACTTCAGAACGGATGCTGAAGAATAGGATCGTATAGAGAGAAAGAGCCGAACCCACAATTTATAAACTGAGCGAGTATCGAAAAGAACCTCATTCCAATTTAGAACCAACAAGAAACGAAAAACTTGCAGATGATGAAATTCAGTTGGAACATATTTTTTGAAAGAAATAGACTTGAGAATCGATATTTAGAGCAGGAATATTGAAAAATCCAAGGTTTACGAGTGGAAGAGAGTGAGGAATTCAGGAAACAAATAGAAGAAATAGAGTTGGAAAATAAGTTAAAGCAAAACGATTTAGATACAAAAGTCAGTTAGCAAAATTCAGAACTATTACCTTTAAATTATTTATTTCAGATTTGAAACAAAATCAGCAAATATCTTCAGAAAAATGCAAGAAAATTGAACAAGCAAATATCCAGAGACAATTTTGAACAAAATTCATAGTTTCGATGAAACATTTTTGCATTTGAAAAACCGAATGGAAGATTTGAATAACAAATTGAATAATATCAGTAAAAATGTTGCTTTATATGAGCATAATTCATCTCAAAATTCAAAATTTAATGGTAAGAGATGGGATGCAAAAAGTTTGGAAAAAGCGTTGGTGATCAAATTCACTTGTGGTTCACCTGGTTACAATAATTTATTGAAATTTCAATACGATTTACCATCGCTGCATACTCTGAATAGACGAATTTCGAACATAAATTTTCAACCCGGTATTTTGAATGAAATTTTTGGTTTTCCGAAAATTAAAATACAAAATTTTGCTCCATGCGACCGTTGTTTCTATTTAGATGAAATGGCAATTACGCCGAGTAAACAATATTGTGTAGCAACTTCTTCAATTCTTGGCTATGAAACATTCACCAATATGTCTGAAATCGCTTCTTCAAAGTTGAAATCTCAAGTCTGAATGTGCATGTTCAAGCGTAGTAGTGAAGTACTAGACGACTACATAGCGCCTAGTGGATTTTGAACAACTTCTTGAGTACCAAGATATGAGCAAGATATTATCAGAGCACAAAACAAGAACGCTTAACGAGTGTACCATTTACGTTAGGTATTGAAAATGATCTTCCGATGGCCGGATTCAAACCAACAATCCCCTTTAGCAATGTGAACGGCGATCTATAGTGAGTCGAGCGCTGAAGTCCATGAATACCTACTTCCGTATGTCTTGGAGAACCTTTACTATTTATCCTAACTGAAATCAGCTGTTATTGTTGCCATATCATTTGTTCATTTATTAATATAAATAATAGTATATTACACACCGAGGTGGGAAGTGATTCATTCCTGTCGTGAGATTAGTTAGTTAGTTGTCGTTAGATTAGCTATAATTTTGAGACAAGAACGAAACTTCCTACCGAGGTTTCTATACTATTTTATTTACAACCATCAAATTTCGATCAAAATTAATAAATCTATGTTTCGTTCTGAACATATCTGAATTATTACATGAGTGAGGGCGGGAAGTAGTGAGGGGCGGGAAGTGAGGGCGGGAAGTAGAGGTGTGTTATGTGACACTTCCCAACCTTCAATGACGTTAGTAATGACAACATTACATATATGGTTGTAAATAAAAGTATGTTTCATTGGTTGAAATTTTACCCCATTCTGAACTTTTGCGTTAAAAAAATATTCAACTGAACGTTTATATATATACCAACATATAGGAGACTTATTCCATAGGAATAGTATATATACTTCGTTGGTATATAAACTACTCAACACTAATTTCGTCGCACACCAAAATGTCGCCCCTGTTATAATGTGAATAACTTTTTTCAGTTTAGAACAATTTGAATTTGGTTCACACAGTTCGATAGCCCAGTCCTTCAGCTATAATCTGGTACTTCATTGAAACATAGGGGTATTCACGTAAAATCTCTACATGGTGTTCTCCGACTCTGTGCGAAATTTCAAAATATTCAAAAGGTTCTCAAATGGTGAAAAAAATGTTTCTCTCAACTTCGACAACAGAGGCATGAAGATGATCTCATTACCTCGAGATATTTCGCGAATCAACTTCCTATCTCTATTATTTACAGAGTGATCTCAAAAAATCAATTTTTTGGTTTTGCAGTCATAACTTTTTTCCACCTCAACCGATTTTGGAAATCTTAGGCTCATTTTGAAGATAAAACTTCAGATGAAGAGATCTGAATATCAGAATTGACTCAAGATGGCTATCAAAGATCTAGAGTTTTCTTGAATGTGACCCAAATCTGGAACGCCCTTCGAATCTTGGTTGGGAGGAGAATTGAATGAAAATCAACTTGTTCTCGGAAAAACAATTCATTCTGGATGCGTCCATATTTTCCTCGCTCTCAGTAGTCGAGAATTGTGCGTGAGAAAACACAATTGAAACATGTTCTTGCAAAAACATTAGATCATTTCTCCTCTGTAATGCATGGCCCGCCGTAACCAACGTTACAAGAATCACAATGAGTGACTGACAAACCCGACCAGCTGAGGCTCATCATAAATGGTGTACCAACAAGAGCAACGGATTTTGATTTTTTCAATAAAGTGATTTTTTTAACAGTTGTCACGTACATAACATGCGATTTAAGAATATGGAGAAGTATTCAAGCAAACAACGTCTTTTTATTGTAAAAACGCATTTCAAAAATGGTGAGTTTCACGTAAAGTTTTCAGTCGCACTAATGCGCCGAACGAATCGACAGTAATAACCAAACAATTCGTGTCGGAGATAAGCCCTTTGAATGGATCGGACTGTCGTGTTTAGCAGATCCGCGATCTGGAGGAAAGATATCCCTTGTTCCCTCATTTGTGGAATCAGTCCTAACTGGTCGGGCGTTAGATGCGGCATCGAAACTATCAAAATCTGTTTATGATTCGAAAACGACGTCTAACCTGACTTGTCAGTCACTCACTGTGATTCTTGTAACGTTGGTTACGGGCCATGCATTGCAGAGGAGAAATGGTCTGATGTTTTTGCAAGAACATGTTTCAATTGTGTTTTCTCACGCACATTCTTGAGTACTGAGAGCGAGGAAAATATGGACGCATCCAGAATGAATTGTTTTTCCGAGAACAAGTTGATTTTCATTCAATTCTCCTCCCATCTGAGATTCGGAGGGCGTTCCAGATTTGGGTCACTTTCAAGAAAACTAGATCTTTGATAGCCATCTTGAGTCAATTCTTATATTCAGATCTCTTCATCTGAAGTTTTATCTTCAAAATGAGCCTAAGATTTCCAAAATCGGTTGAGATGGAAAAAAGTTATGGCTGCAAAACCAAAAAGTTGATTTTTTGAGATCACTCTGTAAATAAGAGAGATAGGAAGTTGATTCGCGAAATATCTCGAGGTAATGAGATCATCTTCATGCCTCTGTTGTCGAAGTTGAGAGAAACATTTTTTTCACCATTTGAGAGCTTTTTGGATATTCCGAAATTTTGCACAGTGTCGGAAAACACCATGTAGAGATTTTATGTGAATACCCTTATGTTTCAATGAAGTACCAGATTATAGCTGAAGGACTGGGCTATCGAACAGTGTGAACCAAATTCAAATTGTTTTAAACTGAAAAAAGTTATTCACATTATAACAGAAGCGACATTTTGGTGTGCGACGAAATTAGTGTTGAGTAGTTTATTATGTACCGGATGAACAACTAAGAACGGCTGTCGGCCATATCTCAGCAACGAATAATGATACAAGTTTGAGATGGAATGAATCTAATGGTATACATATCATTACATGATGTAATAGAGAAACTAAATCTCAACAGATCAACAAAAACCGCAACATGATAGCTTTTCGCCAACGGAAGCTATTAACTATCAAAGTTGGAAGAATGATAGATATGACTGCCGTTCTAAGTTGTATTCTTGTACTTGTCTGGCAAAACATATGATTTGTTTCAAAATCGTTTGTGGTTATGTTTGATCGTCACTGATTGTCTAGTGTCCGTACTCTAATATACAAAAAAACGTCAAAACAGCAGTGTCAAGTACATTCAGGAACTCTACACAAAATGAGCCTCTATTGGAATAAAACCGAAAGCTGAAGTTGAATACTCACTGATGACTGAGCGACTGGAGCTGCCATAGCTCCTTTCAGAATCTCTATCTCTGTCTCTGCCTCTGAATCGGTCTCGTTCCCTTTCTCGCTCGACCCATTCCCTGGGCTTCTCCCATTGAGACACTTCCGTTTTACAATTGTAATAATACTTCTTGCCAGACGAGCTGACATGCTCCGACCAATCACCTACTCTAGTCACCCTATCCCTATCATCCCTCTGAAAAGAAATCTTCCGGCTAAAACCATGGGCTACACAGGAAAGTAGAGGAGTAGATATTTTTATTCCTTTGGATTCCACAAATACTAACTCGGAAGAATAGTTATCTGTTAAACTTGGCAAAAAATCTGCTTTTCTGTCATGTGAAACATATAATCTTTTATTGAAGAGGAATATTCTCAGATATATTTATGAACACAAAAAATGGATATATATATAAAGAAATTCATTGAGATTTCGCGATCCCCATGTGATGAAAATATTATTTCTTTCTCGGTTTATTCAACAGAAAACAACTACTTTCCGGGCTATATGCAACGACGAACATTGAATTGCATCTATTGAACACACATGATAAGAATTTGAAAACAAAATCTTCTAAAGTAGAGAATTTGCATTCTCCTTCATATAATATCATTCTGAATATTCAACAGGAAACAACGACTTTCCTGGCTATTTGCCACGTTCAAATAATTCATCATTTTGTGTTCACCCAGTCAGTATCAATTTTGATAACCAATTTGATTCAATTTATTTCTTGAAACGTTGCACAGCAACAAACTTTTTCTACCTAGGCAGTGGAAGTACACCTTTAATGCCTGTTTGAGTGTCATTAAAAAGCTACTTTCAAAGTCATTTGGAGAAAATAGTAGATTGTTTTATTAGGATCAGAAGTGGCACTTTGTTCGACATGCGAATTTTGCATTTGCGAGGCGGAGCGTCCGGCGAAGCCGAATGAAAGGAAAATTTGCGAGTCAAACAAAGTGTTGTAACCCTCAATATATTGATGATGTTCAGATTAGACAACCCATTGTGACATACTGTCAGATATGAATAAAGTCATGTCCTTAAAAACTGCAATGTTTTAGTTCTATCCAGAAAGTACATTCCAATCTCAGTTCACAGAATCATTTCACAAAGTCACCGAAAGAATAAACTAAAAAAAACATGTGAAGTAACAACCAATGTGACTTACTCGACAGATTATTAAAATACCTATATTATTATAATATAAACGAGTGAATAGATAGAAGCAAGACCTCAGACTACTTTACATTGTTACAATTTGTGTTGACATGCATCATGTCATCAGATACTACAGGCACGAATTCAATACAATACCCGAAATGTGGATGCCATGCCATATGTATGCAATGCAACAAATAATCCGTGTGGTGAGAATATTCTATTTGCATTTACAGATCAGGTTTACTCAGTTTTCAAGAACGTTCGAAATGAAGTTTCAATATGAATACCACAGAGTGACCAGTCTATGTATTCTATTGGATCGATGAATTCATTTGGCCCCTGCCAGTGCCAGGTATAGGAAAAAGAAATGAAAAATCAAAATGTTAGGTTAGTGAGCATATCAACAATAATATAGTGAATATTTTCATGACACTTGAAGGACATTTTTTGACATGAATTCTTAACCTGCTTTCGTAGACATCTCTGGACCATATCAGTGCATGAAAGTCATCAATGCAATACAAGAGGAGCTATTGTTTTAAGCATACCTAGATTCATGATAACAAAGTGAAGATTTTCAATACTGAGATTCACGGGAATCAATGTTACCAGGTGGCGCTCGGTTTTCATCGTTCCATGTCAAAGCCACGTCAAAACTGGGGGAAAACAAACTCAATCCAATTAATGTCATTAGCTTGTGAACTGTGTACTGATAAGAGTGATAATTTTTAACATTTCTTGACATCAATTATTGTCAATATTCGATCGAAAACGCCTATTGTAGATGTTCTTTTGGCAGAAGACTTCAACGAAAGGCACATTTTTGAACTTTGTCTACAAACTTCGGCGATGAAATCTTCCATACATGAAGTAAAATTGAAATTGGGGTCCAGAGGAACTCCTGTAGAACAATGGATTTGTATTTGTTCCTGCAAAGCAGGCCAATCTGGGTATTGTTAGCTGTTCTTTTATATGTCAATTTATTCAATTCTTCACCCGTTCACTGTTCACTAAACTGATAAAAATGTAATAATGTAAAAAATTCAACCAACTCAACCATCGTCACTACAAACAGTGCCAACACTTTATGTCATTGACAAGTTTGACTACAGCTACAGCAAGCTGAATGCAATGTAGTCTATGTACTTTATCTATAGACAACAGTTTGTTTTCCCCCAGTTTGAAGTTCGTATTATGTAATCTAGATGGCGCCCACTTCGTGAATCTCGCGAATTGAGTTACAAAAAAGTACACAGAACATTTGTGACACAGAAGTTTTTACTATGTTCATGAATTCATGACTTCTGTGAAAAATGGTGATATTGGTGATGCTTCTCTGTGAAGAATACACAGTAGTGGGTAGGTTTTGATATCCCTGTTAATAAATAAGTTCAACTTCAATCAGTGGTATTCATACAATTCCTTATTTCTTCATAATTACTCAGCATGGATGTGCCAGAAGAGACACCCCCAGCAACCTCTTTCCCAAAGAAAGTATCCAGGTCGGCAACATACCTGAAAGGTTACACGCCTGGAGGAACTGCTCAATGTAGTACTCCTCCCATCGTCACAGGAGAACAACATTATGTGACTTATTAATAGTATCTTCTTGTATTTTTTCAAGTCAGAATGGGTAAGTTTCCTATATTGAGGTTTTTATCTCACAAATAAGTTTGTAAAAAATTAATATATAAAAATAAATAAGAGGAACTTGGCTCCTCCGCCAATCCTAAGACTTACTTTCTGAAAATCCACATTCACACAGAGTTAAAATACGATTCTCTGTGCCAGTACGACGTTGCCGACATCATCAATATGTCTAGATTTCCGGAAATTGTTCTTTGCATAATAACTATATCATAAAATCAATAGGATATAATAGGTTCTTCAATCCTACTTTGACAAGTTTTATGAATAATTCCCATAATTCACTCATTGACTGAATGAAGTTGATTACTAATAAAGATAAATTATAATATTTTGCGATATTATCTATAATTCTTCACAACCGTTATATTAAAATATGTTATTCATAACTTGTCAGTAATTTTTTTGCTGATGAATTAGTTCCTTAATAGAACGGATCTATTTTCTAGGAAAGTAGCAGATTATATCTCGCAACAGCGCCTAATACTTCAAGTCCGTCCACACCACTCAAAATACTGACAGGCACAACAAAAGGAAGGAGCCATGGGTGTCGGCTTCATTTTGTTCTGACCGATGGCAGTAAATTAGGAAGGATAGTATCTTTGAATATAGCCGATAGAGATTCATTGATTCGATGTTATTTTTGTTAAGGATCAAGCTCTATTCCAGATATTTCAATGCAACTACCTTCTGCATTCCTGCTCCAAGTGCATTTGTGGTTATGCAGGTTTTTTTTTACCAGTTTCACTTCTTCTGTTTTTTTCATTCGTTTTTCATATTCCTCATCATCAGCTATTTTCAGACTGGATTCAGAATGTACGTCACAGTTTGCCGCACCGAAAATTAGATATTGCTTTAATTTGTAACTGAAAACGACTTGGACTTTATCGGTTGCCATTCTGTACAGCGTGGACATAAAACTGGCGAGTTCCGAACTTATTTTATGAAAATTCATCGGAAGGAAACTTCCCCAGGAAATACTAATTTTCTGCCAACTCAGTCAGTATGTTTTTTTTTGTTTTTTCTTTTCAAAATTTGAGAACCAACTCCCCAGAAGTCGAAAATGGTGCGGGGTTAAAAAAGAGCGGGACCTACAGCTTATAGTGGAACCCGAACCACTTCTAGGGCATCAAGATGCTACAAGGATTACAACCATGAATCACACACTTTTTAAGAAAAATACTCAGCCAAGCAGGATTCGAACCAACAGTACCTTCGCTTGTGAACGGCTATCTAGCGAATTCCAGCGCATTGACCTACTACTACTATCAAGTATAAAGCTATAAAAAATGTTCGGGTTTAGAACAAAAATTTGTATTGAAAAATACCTTATCGGCACAGTTGTTATGCATGGGTTTTCTATCTCTTGATGATATCTGTGATGTTTTTATCGGATGCAGAATGCTTTTTTCATCATTTCTATCAGAATTGATTCTGTGTTCAGAATCTCTACTGCGCTTATCCTTTGGTGATCTGGCGCTATCTGAAATGATAACAAAAGACTGTTAGGAACTGAGAGAATATTTGAAGTATTAACAAGTCCAAATGGAAATTTTTCTTCAAGTAATGCAGGGTATGTCACGAAATCTATGAAAATATGCATGCTTATATTTTAGAATACACTCTCTTTATCTAACATATTTTCGAGAATGCAGTGTTGCCGCTTCTACTAGAAAGTAGTCGCAACATTGATATTTCAAATGGAACACCCTGTATTCTATCACATTTTCAGATTCTCCCTGAAGAGCTGATTTCATCGATACATCAGACTTGGGGTCTATCAAAAATGATTACAGAGATATGGGGTGTTCAAAATCGAGATTTTTCAACTTTAGGATTTTTTTGTGTTGAAGTTGAAACTATTCATTATCGGTCAAAACGGCTTACATGTCCCTATCTCAACTTTCGATTCACTATTTACTGACATTCAATACGAACAGATACAGGTTGGTTCAAGATTCAGAATTCTGATCACCCTGTATCTGTTCCGATTAAATATCAGTAAATAATAAATCAAGAGTCCCGATGCATAGCAGAGGGAGACAAAAAAACCCGTGAGCTAGAATCTAATACTTTTCCAGTGTATAATAAACTATTTTTTTCTGTAACAGGAAAAAGGACGAATCAATATTGAGAAGATATTACATTATTCGCGGGAATCAATGCCACCAGGAGGCGCTCGGTTTTCATCGTTCCATGTCAAAGCCACGTCAAAACTGGGGGAAAACAAACTCAATCCTCACTCAATCCCATTAGTGCCATTAGCTGGTGTACTGTGTACTAATGAGAGTGATAAGTTTTTAAATTTCTTGACATTAATTGTCAATATTCGATCGTAAACGCTAATAACGCCGGTTGTAGATGTTCTCTTGGCAGATATATTTTGCTCTATTTAGAAGGAAAAAACCGACCAGTAGTGAAAGGAGAAGCAGTTCTCCGTGCTGATCATGTGATTTTGTGTGAGGCAGACAACAAATGGCACATTTTTGCACTTTGTCTACAAACTTAGGCGATGAAATCTTCCCCACATGAAGTAAAATTGAATTTGGGGTCCAGAGGAACTCCTGTAGAACAATGGATTTGTATTTGTTCCTGCAAAGCAGGACAATCTGGGTATTGTAAACATGTAGCTGTTCTTTTATATGTCAATTGATTTGCTCGTCATAATTAGTTTGAATTGTTTGTTTCTCCAATTCTTCACCCGTTCACTGTTCACTAAACTAATAAAAATGTAATAATGTAAAAAAATTAACCAACTCAACCATCATCACTACCAACAGTGCCAACACTTTGTGTCATTGACAAGTTTGACAACTACAGCTACAGCAAGCTGTATGCAATGTAGTATATGCACTTTATCCATAGAGAACAGTTTGTTTTCCCCCAGTTTGAAGTTTGTATTATGTAACCTAGATGTCGCCCACTTCGTGAATCTCGCGAATATTAAAATCAGAAAATTATTGACGTGAAATTTGAAGTTTTCAACAGGAATGACACCTGTGTTGCGAGCATCTTTGTCATTCTTTTGAAGTAATCAAATATCTGTTAGTCTAATTCTGTGATTTGATTTAAAAAAATTGCGAATTTATTTATTACTAAAAAGTTTTGGCCTGAGAAATTATTTAGAGATGATGATATTGGGTACTAGAGGGAGTCTCATCTTATATGCCTACCTTCAATTCATATTCAGAGATTTGAGAAATGATGCTTTACACAATGGGAAAGTTTCCTATATTTCCTTTCTTTTGAACTATGTATATCACAAGTTAGATTGTGGAAAATATGTTGCTTCATTGATTTTTGATCTGTCTAAAGCATTTGACAGTGAACATTAGATTAGAGGAGTCAAGTTGGATTGGATCCATTGCTATCTATCAAATAGAACATTATTGGTTAAAATCGGAAATGACCTGTCAGAAAGTCAAGAGGTTCCCCTTGGTGTTTCCCAGGGATCAGTTTTGGGCCCTCTCATTTTCATTATTTTTGCAAATGATCCACCAAGAAATATCAACTTAGGTTAAATCACTATGTTCACAAAATGATACTACCATAACTGTAACAGCAGCAACCCTAGAGAAGTTACATGAAAACATTAAAGTTACCTATAATGAGATGACATCTTGGTACCAATGGAACAGACACATATTGAACAAAGGAAAAACAGAATGTATCAATTTCTACCTATGCCATGTGGTGCCTTTAAACTTCCAGTTACTTGAAGAATTGTCTTTCACCAAAAATGTTAAATTGTTGGGAACTTTCATGGACTCACAACTTTCTTTTAGTGCCCAGATAAATCATGTATGTACAAAACTCCTAGCAAGACTCAACAAAGCATACTATGCAATATTGCAAATGAAACCATATTTGGATGAGAAAGGTTTGATTAACTTGTACTATGCTTTTGCATACTTGTACTATGCTTTTGGGTATAGCAACATTTCATATAACATCATCTCATGGGGTTCATCAAATGATTGGGAAAGAGGTTTCAGCGTCTGATTAGACTGTTATTTCAATTGGTATTTAGAGATAGTTGTTGATCTACATTTAAAAAGAAGCGGATTTCAACATTTTCAGGTCATATTCATTTTGAAATGCCTTACTTTCATTAAAAGTGATTTGAATAGTATTTCACAAAATCAGCATATGTATCAAACTTCTCATAAGAACTTTGATATTCTGAGACATAATACTGCAATGTTCCATAGATCTCCAAAATTCATTGCTTTAAACTTAATTAATGTCCTTCCTAATGAGCTCTGTTTCACAAAATCAGCATATGTATCAAACTTCTCATAAGAACTTTGACATTCTGAGACATAAAACTACAATGTTCCATAGATCTCCTAAATTCATTGCTTTAAAATTATTTAATGTCCTTCCTAATGAGATGAAAAACATCTCTTCTTATGAGAAATTCAAGAGAAAATGTAAATTATTGTTTATACAATGTAAATGAGTTTTTGGGCAGGAATAGCCTCTAGTCAATTTACAGATAATTTTATATTGCATATTTCAGTTAACCCTCCTTCATTTGACTCACTGTTTTTCTAAATGAACTAAAAATTACTGTATTGTATTGTTCTAATATTTTATGCATCTATTTGAGAATGTTTTGATCCAATTCATTTCAATTTTACATTATGTGTAAACAATCTGACTTGTCCAACACCCTTAAAATTGTGGTAATTTATGGATCAAAAAAGTTTCTATTCTATTGAGATTTGAAGTTTTCTATGAAATTCATGAAACATCATTACATTATGTATTTTTCATTTTGTCAATAGGCTTAGATTTTACTTTAGAAACAGAAATTAAGAGACTTGGTTTGAGCTGCTTCATCATTCTGCTGACTTCATTGGTGAACTGCCATGTTCACACAGAGCTAAAACATGTTTTCCTTATCAGGAGCATTTTTATACTTGCCTGAATACTTGTCCCTTGAAGATTTGTAGTCTCTATTTTCTCTCTCCTTTTCACGGATTTTCTGTAGATAGGAGTTTTTCGACTGGTATGATCTATCACGGTCCCTTGGCGACTGAGAATCAGGACTGTCTGAGCGATAGTTGCCGTTCGGCGAATCGCGGATCCTTTCGTACCTGTCACTACTTGATCCATAGCTTTTTGATGAACTGTATTTGGAACTCTAGAAAAATTGAAACGTCCAGCTATTTGAAGGAAAAAAAAGTGAAATCGCTATTGGTCGCGTGAATGATTACCGACTCTGGAGGTAAAACATTGAAACACAACCTCACTTTTCTTATTTGTTTAAACAGAAATCAAAGGATTGAAATAGTTTTTCACAATATTTTTGCATACAAATCATGTTTTTTGGTCTATCCATTAATTCAAGCATGCCATCACATTGTTCTGTTGTACAAAGCACAAGAAATGCAGCTAGAGACTAAGGAATATGATTTTTTAGGTAGATAGTGATCTCACATTCTTGTTTTCATTATAAAATTTTGTCATTTCTCATCAGAATTCCTTCTGCCACTTCTACAACAGAAGCTAATTCTGCAAATAGTGAAAATGTCTACAACACACAGGATCATATTTCATTTGATTGCATGAAACCAATCTTCTTGCCTTCTTTTAGAAACTCCATGAGTATTTCTATTAGCTCCTATTACAGGAGAAATTCCAATGATAAATGAGGAAATTTCAGAATGAAAACTAAATGTGAATGACTATAGTTCTTATTGATCACAATGTACCTACCTGAAAAATCAGATTCCTTAATCTCTTGAATTTTTTGTGCATTGTACAAAAGCATTATTCCTATGAAAAACTATTTCAATCCTTTGTAAACAAATAAGAAAAGTGAGGTTGTGTTTCAATGTTTTACCTCCAGGGTGGGTGATCTGACAGATCTTGCATGCAAACCATATTTAAAATATATTATTCAAGTTATGGTCCCTCTAGTTAAATATGAGTAAGATTTTCAAAAATCTGGATAATGATTTATTTCTATAGCTACCTAAATCTGAAAGTTTTGCAGAATGTACAAATGTCATGTGGAGAATATTCTCAGAATTCTGCCTGAATACACATTTTGGAATCAGTATTTTACTTCCATCATTATGCAAAGTAATGGAAGGTTTTTGAAAGATGCAATCATAGATGATGAGTGAAAAGACACCTCACATTTCATCTTGGAAAATAATTGCCTTACATTGTGTCATTGATGAATCTACAAGTCAGGGGTTACTTCTATTTTACCAATTATAAATAATAACATGATAACTAATATTATTTGAGAAAAATCATATTGCCTAGATGCACTGACAGGTATTATCAAATATTGACAGATGACATTGTTTGGTGAGCCCTCATAAAATATTATAATTTTGTCCTAATAGGACCAGAGTGTTAGGACAAGGAACCCTAGAACAAGGTATACCTCAAAAACTAATATCTTCAAATGTACAGAACATAGGTAACTAAATACAATAATAATATATAAAAAACCACTGGCAGGAATACATTCCTAGATATGAACAGTAAATATTATAATTCCAAAAACATGTGTTACATTGGTGGCTACAGACAAAACATAGCATTAGATGATGGGAAGTTGATATTGACATCTGAATTTTTATACTGATCAAATGAACAGCAAATTCATATATTCTGAATTTCAGGGGATAAAAAGAGGATTTTAGAATCAACAAATGAGATCAATAGGTACTCAATATTTCAATATTGCAACTTAATGATGACTTCACTATGTTTTCAGAGATCAAAATTTTATGTCAATTTGTTTTTAGGAAGCTTGATGCAGAAATTCAAATTACCAAGTTCTTTTATCAAAATATAGAGAATTTAATGAAAAAATATAGGTTAAGAAATTATTGGCAGCCATATTTATTATTGTTTTGACAACTGCTCTATTTTCTGCCTTTTGGAAGTATGTATACATCATATATACATACATAGAGTAGGTACATGATAAAATTGTGAATTTCAAAACAGAGTTTATAAATTGAATTTTTGTTTCAGAAATCCTGAATAAAATGGTGGCCGACTTGAAGTCATCTTAAAGTGGACTGTAGGTTTCTCAAAATACTATTTGTTTTCAATGAAACTTCATTTGGAAGTTCAATAATTAATTTGCCTAACATTGGAGGACGTTCATAACAGAAATATCAATTTCTAGTAGAGATTAGATAATTATGTAGGTATCGTAAATCCGACAGGGTGATTGCAATCATCAACCCCTCAAAACAAAAAATAATTATTTACCTGATAGGGATGGGCTTGGTGCTTCTCGAAGTACCTGTACATAAAAAAAATAGTATTAATACGAAAATAGACGTAGGCTCTTGACTTGTAGCGAGAAAATTACAAGATTTTTTCTTTGCCTTGCTTTTTCTCGAAAGAATTTAATAATGCCTACCCATCGTTCATCCGCTGAGTTTTCCTTGCATGCATTACCATCAATGCAAGTCTCTAGGAAATGTTCTTGGCTTTCACCATAAGCCGTTTTATCAATTGATTTCATAAAAACAATAAATCCGTCTGATCTCTTTCAAGAACTAACTTTTCGATCAGACGCCATGTCACATAAGGGAACAAATCGCAGTCGAAGTAGTCGAAGACGATTGGCGAAATCACGAAATGTTCTGTCAGTTAGGTCTTTTCTGTTATTGGTCCAATGTCCATAACGTTGACACTGCGTTGACGTAATGAGGTAGATCAATTCAATGTTGCCATTCCACTAATTTGTCACAATCCACAAAATCATCAAAATCCCCCAACAAATAACGCGAAGTGACTACAGTCCCGTTTTTGGGACATTTACTTGTTCATAAATATAAAATCTGAGATCAGTTCACAGAACCCATAATAGTGACATCTGTGGATGTGGATGAGTTACTCGAGTTCAGTAATCAGTATCACAGCGGACTCAATTGGCAGGAACTGGTGGGGTGTGTCTTCATTGAGTGGTTTTTGCCTCTGTTTAACATGCGGGTAAGAAAGAAACATACATATCATGAGTGCAGAAACACTCCACCAGTTCATTCCAATGAAATTCACTATCAGTGAACAGTGGTTAATTAGTCAAACTTAAACGCCAAAACAAAAACCACTCAGCAATAAACCAAGGTGACTAGAAATACACTAAATCGATATTTTTCAATTTTTTTTTCATCAATGAAATTGATGAAGCAAAAAATCACCAGAAATATAAATGGTTGATATATTCGTTTACATATATTTATTTCATTTGTCAAAATCAGATTTTGGTATTCCTTGACTGACACCGACCGCACTGTATATTGAACTCCGCTGATTTTAGTAAGTTTCACGCCAGTTTCAATTTATGATTTATGTTGGTATTTCTTTCTTTCTGCATTCTGTCAGCAGAACGGAACGTGAAATGCTTACGGAACAGAACAAGAACATGATCAATGATTCACTCACTGATCAGCGATCTTTAGATTCTTTAGTGCTCATGATTAAAGAAGTGAGGGAAGAAGGTAGAAGGGGAAATGAAATGAACAATGGCGTAATAAACTATAAACAGTGCTGTTATTTTGAAACAAATTTTACTATTAGTGAACAATCTATGTGAATCTAAGACAAATTCTGTAATTTCCATATATGATATAAGTGAATTTTGTTGCCTGAAAATTTGAGCATTTTAAGGTGAGTTGATTCCTTGTTTCTCTAATCATTGTTTTTCTAGGACATTGCTACAGCAGGTGGGATGTTCTAAAATTATAAAAGTTCCAAAAAATCAGGCTATTGATGTTGAAGAGCATGACTATAATTATTGTACCATGTATATAAAGATGCATATAGTTTCCAATTCAACTAAAAATATTCTATGTCCCATGAAATTACATTTTCATAATCATATTATCATATTTCCCTGATTGCTGCTAGAGCAAAGATATGATTTTCTAATTATATATAAACTGTTGAAAGTGTTGAACCCTCAAATTCTACTTCTTCTAGTTGAAATGTTCACTAAGGATCAACTACCTACTGATAGGAGATCAGATAGGATTTCCCCAAATTTCAATAAATTTAGAGGAATTATTAAAACATCTCAGGATAATGGTAAGTCAACGTTGGCCTCTTCTGTATGATTCTTTGGTCAATATAATATGTTCCTCAGTATGCCCAGGTTCAACAAAGTTCTTGAATAAGCTTATCTCAAATAGATGAGTCATACAGGGTTATTCATTGGGAAATGCACATACAGTGAGGGTAGGTAGATGGAGGACACAGAGGTGCTTCTGAATAATTTATATTTCATGGGTCCATCATTCTTTATAACTTATAAGCAAGATACAGGTTGATTTATTGATTTTCCCAATTTTTTCAATTATCATAACTTATGAACCATTCTATACATTTTCTTACTATTTGGTTTGTGTGTTCTTTGTCCACAGTGGAGACAATTGACATAATAAAAAAACTTTCATTCCAGGGCCGCCTTGAAAAAAGTAATAGGTAGGTTTCAAGTCAAAACAACATCCTGTATTTCAATATTATGAAATTTCATCTATGAATTTGGAGAGAGCAGGAAGAAATAAGTAAGACTGTATTTATTTGGTGTGTATGTGTAAGAACATTATCATAGCATTTGTTTATTGCACTACATTTGAAACAACAACAACAAAAATCACATCTTTGTTTTAAACAAAAATAACATTGCCACAAATCTACATTTTGAAGTTAAATAACAGAAAATGAAAAAAAATATAATTTTCTTTATCCATCTCAAATTATTTTTTAGCTAAAGCATGTTCAACTCTTCATGCATTCTTGATTATATTAATTAAATAAAGCAGTCATTTTTGTTTGAAATGAATTTATGCTTTTTCCGGAATTGGCATTGTTCAACATTTTCATAATTGTTGTTTTGAATGTTTGTCTTCTATTTCTTCCAAACCCTGGTGCCAAATGATCTTAGCTATCATGCACCTTTAGGAAAAAAAAATGTGAGACAGTAAACAAATGTTATGATAATTTTAGGATAATTTTCTTTCACACACAAGTTAGGCATTTATAATTATAATTTGTCCCAAAAAGGGGCATGTCCTCTCGTTTTCAATTAGTCTTACTTATTTTCTCCTGCTCTTTCCAAATTTGTGAATGAGATTTCAAAATATTGATATACAGGGTGCAGTGGCGGATCTAGGCAGTTTTTCAGGGGGGGGCCATGGGCCGTGAGTTAATGGAATTTTGAAACCAAAGTAATTGAAACCACATGAATAATGAATGATATGTATATGAATAGGGTGAAACTTTGCTCAACTTTGTTCAATTTTCCGCTTTTTTTGTACTGACAAAAAGTATGAATTAATCTTCCTTCTATCCATCTGAAAAATTAAAGAGCTCAGCTAAGTTCTCCAGATCGAATAGGTAGGAGATTGACATTTTTTTTTCACAATGACACCATGATCATTAAAATACATTTTTTAGTTGGAATAAACTCAGGAATGTAGACATTAAATGATTCTCGAAAATGTATTGAAGATTTATCTGCAGCTCTAAATAGTTTTGTTCATCCAAGTAAAATTTTATACACTGATTATCGGTTTTCAAAAATATATAAAAATCAATCTCGTTAATAATCTCACTGTTGCGTATGTACCAATGTACCTACTTACCATTTAATTTTTAGTATAATTTCAATTTCACTTATCACTTACTTCTTCTTTCTTTTTAAATGAAAAAATCTGTGAACTGAATCTTACTGTTCTGAAGAACTAATGTGAAATGACCCTTTTCACCCTTTTCTTTCAAAACCAATTGGTGTTTTTTGCGGTTTCGAATAAAAAACAACTACTTATTTCAGTTATTCCCTTTGTTCTTGATTCTTGCCGCTCACCGCCACCGGTCACCGCTTACCGCTAATTTGCATTTTACTGAAGCCCCGGCCTTGAAAATAATTATTTTTCCTCTATCGTTATCTGTTTTGCCGCCCTTTGATCTGACCGCCTGTGTGGTTTTCCCATATTCCCACTGCATACAAGAATGTTTCTATATAATATTTGTCTATGATAATGAATGAAATTCAAAAAAGAGTTGATTTGGCATGTTCGAGTGTTTGAGGAACCATTCAATACACGAATACGAATAATTTTGGTTTGTATAACGTAGCTTTGGTTGCATATCCAGACTGATTGTTGAACCAATATCAACTACTTATTCAGAGCTCTGGGGGGGGCCATGGCCCCCATGGCCCCCCCCTCAGATCCGCCAGTGACAGGGTGTTGTTTAGACTTGAAACCTACCTATTACTTTTTTCAAGACCTACCCTGAAATAAGACTTTTTTTATTCAGTCAATTGTCACCACTATGGACAAAGAACATACAAACCAAATATCAAAAAAATGTATTGGGTGGTTCATAAGTTATGATTTATTCAAAAAATGGGGGAAATCAATCTTGGTTATATAGAATATTCAGAAGCACCTCCATCCACCCTTACTGTATGTGTATTTCCCAGTGAATATATTGTAGCTTCAAATCTGAAAATTCAACTCAACTACTGAGTTCTCCAGTTTAGACAGATTCAAAACTTGTTGAGTAATCTGAATTTGAGTAGTAGATTTTAGTCAATAAAGAATCAGAGGTGAAAGTCAAAATCAGAGTTAAATATTGTCTGTGGGTTCATAAAGGAAGTTTATTTATAACACAAATAAATGACTATTGTTTTCTTGTAGGAAGCACATCATATCCATCTTCATTGAAACCCGTTTCCAAATATAACATTCTCCATTCTTACTTTGAATGTAACTTTAGTGATGATGATAGTAAATTGATTGCACTGGAATTCAAAAGGTATTTATATGTGTATTTCATCTACTATTCACATACAATTCATTCATTTAGAATTATATAACATAACATTATTTTAATTTGTTGTTTAACCCATCATGCATTTTTTCAAGTGAGAACTAACTGGGAGAAGCAACATGAATGGAAAACACCTATGATAGTTAACTGTTATTGAATTGTTCTTTTTTTATCAGATTATGATGATATCACCTACTCTATTGCTAGTATCTTTTGTTATTTTGGTATTCTGAAAGTGATTCCACAAAAAAATAGTGCCACTATAATATTAATTTAATAATTCATAATTGGAGTGATTTTTGAAGAATATACAAGAACAGGAAGAAACTGAAGATGCAACCAAGAGGAAAAGAAGACCAGCCAAGAAAGAAGAGCCCAAGATATCAAGACATTCTTATTCCATCTAAATTGATTTTGTTTATTAATATTGTGTTTGACTAACAAGTTTCAAGTTAGATTGAGACATTTGCCAATTTTTGATTTCTAAACAAATGTTTTGTTTGATTTGCAGACAAATAAAATCTTGTATCAAGGATCCTATTTTCATTGATGAAGTTCGGAACAAAATTATATATTTGCACAACTACAATATGAAAGTAGCTGAGGTGAGTGTGAATATCTGATTCTTGCTGTAGATTCATTTCACAGTATTATTTGTATTTGAAACAATTTTATTTTTTAGGTTTCAATTACTTACCCATTTTCTACTGAACTAGCTGAACTTCTTCTGCAATATGTTTTGTTAGAATCCAGAACTTTATACAGAAGACATTATTATACTGGTAGAAATGAAATCAAAGCTCAAGACAGGATATTGAGATTACTGCTACATATATATAGAGCTTATTTTGAGAGCAAATCAGTGCCTGCAAAGAACATATTAGAGAAGTCTGCTAAAGCTATAATAAACATGTTTATTGAGATAAGAAGAGATTATGGATTGAATAATGCCTTGCTGGAAAATATGACAAAGTAAGTTTTTATCATAAATCTGAGAGAATTGTATCTCTGGTACTATGGCTGGAAATTAGTCCACTAACTTATTATTGTTGATGGATATGAAGATTGAAGTTGTAGATAATAGACATTAAAAATTCGAAAATGTGTTTTTTTCAATTGTCTTGAAAATAGAAAAGAGGACATTTATCTTCATTCACCATCACAATGAGCATACAATTATGCAACTCAATGATATCATGATATCAATTTGATGGGTGTACCTCAAATAAATATGAAGATATAGACAAAGCACTAATGATTTCATAGTTTAGTGATGAACCAATTATTTATTTGTGTAGCTTATGTTTTGAGCATTATATAAAATAAATAAAATCATAAGTTTTTGAATGGATAATAGTATAAGAATATTGTTGTGGAAACTGATGTTATATTTTCTTCTCTTTTGATGCTAGTGGACCAGTAACCCAATAATATTTTTTTATACACCAAGGTAGTAAAGAATATCATTATTACCCAGGGACCAAGATTATATATATCCTGAGGCTTCAGCCGAGTGGTATAAGGTCCTGTGGTAATAATATTCTTTTACATTATCTACCCCTTTTATGAACTTGAATTCATAATCAAAATTCGATAAAAACAATGACCACCTTTGCAAGCGGCCTGCGGCCATCTGAGGTAGACTTTTGAATTGTTGAGGTCTAATTGATTTTTAGGTAAAATGTTAGAATTGTTGAATTTGTTGATTTCTATTGATGCCAAATGATTGAGTTTCATTATTCTATTTTCTACTTGTAATATTTCGAAATTATAATCAAAACTATGATTTTCTTCTAATATAATACTGTTGAATTTATTCTTTTCAACTATTATAATGTTCATGAATACGATGGTTATACGTTCTACCTGTCTGACCAATATATACCATAGGATGAGATCTACACTTCAGTTTTGTAATTTGTTTAAAAAAAATCTATTATGATGTTCATGAGTACGGTGGTTAAACTTTCTACCTGTCTGACCAATATACAGTGTGACCCACTTCCAATGGAAACACCCCTGTATCTCACATAATCGTTGGGTAAGGATCCTGAAATTTTCTGGAGCTACACTTCAGTTTTGTAATATTTTTATATTGATATGCACATATCCACGGAAAAAATGGTGGGGACGCTGTACTGCTTTGGGATTTGTTGAATTTTGGTCGCATTCGATTTAGAAGATTTAGTACACCAAAGGTGGTAATACTGCACTAGGGTTTGGCAAGAAACAACCCGGTATCGTTGAATTTCAAACGTGCAATATAAAAATTTGCAATAGTTCTGGAGATATTAAGGGTGTACATTTTCTCAAGGAAACACAGTGTATGTAGGACTTCATAGTATTGGGCCACTTTGTGAAAATTCAAATGTTTCTTCCAGAATATTGTTGAAAAAAATAGGCCACTTGGAAAAAATAGAGGCTCTCACAGGAAAAAGTCTCCCATGTCCTCTAGACACTTGCCTGAAAAATGATCCAATTTCTGAAATCTATAAAAATACCACAACTAGTGATTATGGCACTGATTGTGGTTCCTCTGATGGATTTCAAATGGATGATGTTACGGTGAGTTTTTGGATATTTTGTGTTCGTCAATTTTTGTTACATGTCAAACGTTACATTTGTTTGAATTTCAAAAACCTATTTATACATTTTTTTTAATTGACTCGGCCGTTCAATCACTTGTCAACCTCCTACCCGACAGATCAACCCCTTCAACATTTTTAAATGTAAAAGGGGTCAAGTTACACCTTCTTAGAGAGGCAAGATTTAAAGTTTATCTGAATTTTTGGTATTGGTAGGTAATGTAGCATTGTATTACTTGTACAGTTAATTCACCCACATTTGAAAAAACTTATTCTACATGTAGGTAAATTAACTGTTATAAGTAATACAATGAAGCAGTACCTACCATTATCAGAAATTTAGACAAATATTCCAATACATTTTGAATCTTTCGACTGCTCTTTTGCGGAAATGGCCTAACCGAATTTGAAAAAAAAAAATAGGACGTTGTATGGAGATCTGAAATACCTCTCTAACAAGGTGTAACTTGTACGATTTAAAAATTGTTAGGGGGATTTTTTGAAATATAATTTTGGTATGAAGATACGGATTTTATTCCATCATAGGTTTCCACACTGTATACAGTGAGGACGTAAAAAGCCCCCCCCCCCCTTCAACCTTTGAACGGAACAAGCTAGCAAGGTCGGGTAAAATTCAGGCAAAAGGGTACCTCTTTCACTACTATATGGTTGTTGTCACGTGACCTTGTGTCAAGTGGGCACCATCAACTTTTCTTTCAAATATGAAGAGGGGTAGTAGTAGTAGTAGTAGTATTGTGGGGAGGCTGTAGCCAGGCATGTAGGCCCCCATGGGCCCTTTTTGCCAACCCCTGCTCTCCACATATCTACACATCCCTCTTTTAGTTGTCCTTTTCGAACCTTCCCGTCCTTCTGATGAAGGTCAGGATGTCCGTCCACTCTAATTCGACCAAGTCTTCCTGTTGTAGTTTATCTACTCCAAAGATTTCGAATCTCATCCTTCCATACGCCTCACACTCTCCGAGGAAGTGAAGTGATGTCTCCTCATCTTCTCCGCATTCGCGGCAAGTGGGACTATCTTCCACACCTATGAGTGATAGGTGTCTGCGTAACCTGTTATGCCCTGTTAGTATCCCTATAAGAAGGCGCAGGACTTGGCGATCCCTGCCCAGCAACCAAGCCGTCCTTGGCTTGCTAGGACCGGCCACCAGGTCTCTCGATTGCCTGCAGCCGCCTATACGCCTCCAATATACTTCTAGTGCCTCGTCCGCCCATTTGTCAAGGGCAGACGAAGTTTGGCTTCTTGTTATGCCCAGTGCAGGCTCCGGCCCCCAGAACGGTGTCGCGGATCCGATTCTAGCCAGCTCGTCGGCCACCTCGTTCCCGGGCACCCCCCTGTGCCCCGGAACCCATACTAGTTCGACTTCCTTCTGTTCAGCTAGTTTCTCAAGAGCATCGCCACATTCCTGCACCAAGGCTGAGCTTGGTTTAGGATGGCAGACAGCCCTGAGAGCCGCCTGACTATCCGAGCAGATGTAAATCTTCTGCTCTGGTCCCTCTTTCACCTCATGCCTCTCCGCTACTGCCAGAATGGCAAAGACCTCGGCCTGGAAAACTGTGGTATACTTTCCAAGAGCGTAGCTCTCCCTTATGCCTAATCCTTCTAAGTAAATTCCTGCGCCTGAGTCCTGTTTGTCAGTTAGGCGCGATCCGTCCGTATAACATACTAGACTCCCCGGGTGGAATTCCACTCTGTTCTCTTCCCATTGTTCCCTGCTTGGAATAGTGAGGGTGAACCTTCTATTCCATCTCAGCCTATTTTGGGCGTTCTTCACTCTTAGGGTGGAGATAGGGATCTCCTGCTCCACCCATGTCGCAATTCCCGCGTGACCTGTCACTGCTCCTCCGTTAGCCCAACTCCCCGAGTCCCGCATCCTCAGATAGGCCGCCATTGCTTCCCTCTTAATCCAGATTGGAAGCGGCGGCAGCCCCAGCAGTACCTCTAGGGTTGCAGTTGGCGTCGTCCTCATAGCTCCTGTGATCGCCAGGCAGGCCATCCTCTGAACTTTACTGAGCTTTCGACTGATTGTGCTGGTTTCTGCACCTGGCCACCACACAGCTGATCCATATTGAATCTTTGGTCTTACGACCGCTGTGTGAGGGGTCACGTGGTACCTTGTTTTGAAGGCCTTTCAATTCTCTATCCTCCTCCGCTTTGTGCAAATCGTTCAAGCCGTTTCAAAATGACAAGCGTTTGAAATGGACCTCGGAAACAGTGAATCACGTTCGGATTGAATTCCAAAACCGATTTTTTCGTGTCAATAAGTGAACGATGAACATTTCGGTTACAATTCCTACTTGAAATTCTGTTGCAATTAAAAGATATTCAGGTTTTTTATTCATTAATATTAATATTTGAAACAAATTTCAAACGTTTGTCGTTTTAAAATGGCTTGGCCGATTTCTACAAAAGAAGTGGTGTTGAATAGAGAATCATTGACACGAAAAAATCGGTTTTGGAATTCAATCCGAACGTGATTTACTGTTTCTGAGGTACATTTCAAACGCTTGTCATTTTGAAACGGCTTGACCGATTTCTACAAAGCGGAGTTGGATAGAGGATCGAAAGGCCTTCAAAACAAGGTACCACGTGACCCCTCTTTATATTTGAAAAAAAAGTTGATGGTGCCCACTTGACACTAGGTCACGTGACCACAACACAACAAATAGTAGTAAAAGAGGTACCTTTTTGCCTGAATTTTACCCGACGTCGCTAGCTTGTTTCGTTCAAAGGTTAAAGGGGGGGGGGATTTTCACGTCCTTGTTGTATATCTCTATTTAATCGTTTCTTTAATGAAAAGACTTCTAAAATAATTTTGCAAAAGTTACAATCGAAGAACCATTAAAGATGTGAAATTCCTTATAATAATACTAGTTTTTGTTTTCAAGAGATTACTTCAGGAAAATTAATGGAAATTTGCAATAAAATAGATGGTAAAAAAAGTTCGTACTTAATCAAAAAAAGTTTAGCTAACTTTTGTGAACCGCTTACCCATGTCATACATTTTTCTTTATGTTCTGGGCAATGTCCTACAAATACTAAATTCGCAGTAGTTAAACCTTACTTCAAATCAGGCGACCCTGATATGATGGATAATTACAGACGAATTAGCCTGCTTTGTGCATTTTCAAATTTTTTTCGAAATAGTTGCTTATGAACAAACTTTTGCTTTCTTCCAACAAAATAATCTTCTCAATTCAAATCAGCATGGTTCCTTCAGGGGTAGGAGCACTGAAACTGCTCTTTTTGAGTTAATAAATAATATTAACAGTGGCCTGGACGCTGGAAACTTGTCCTGCGGGATTTTCCTGGATTTGTACAGGGCTTTCGACTGTATTGACTTTGATATTCTATTCAATAAATTAATACACTATGGAATCAGGGATACACAGTTAAATTGGTTCGAAAGTTACATGACCGGACGCACACACACTTTGAAGCTGAAGGATCAGAATACAAATGAATATATATGGTCCACGGCGCTTGTGTTGTCCAGGGGGGTGCCGCGGGGCAGCGTATTAGGACCACTCATATTTATCATCTACATCAACGATCTCTTATCAATTGCCGAACGAGATCAAACTATCATTAACTATACAGCTTAAAGAACATTCTTGAATTCAAATTTAATAATAAATCCTGATAAAACTAAAGCAGTATTTTTCAAAACAATACGTGGGCCTGGAACCCCAGCCAATATCATTCTTGATCAACATAAAATACAATTTTCCACAGAAATTAAATGTTTGGGTGTGTTTCTTGATGAAACCTTGAGTTTCTCCTCTCACATCAATTTCCTCTGTAAGGAACTTAACCGGTCTTGTTTTGGCCTCAGAATACTGTCGAATAACACGAATATCAACATTGTTAAAACCTTTTACTATGCAAGCTTCTATTCAAGGGCACGTTATGGCATCATTCTCTGGGGAGGAAACAGTGAAGCCTTAATTATTTTCACAATTCAAAAGCGAGCTATAGGTATAATCAAAAAGTTGAGTTATCTCACTTCTTCTAAAACTCACTTCAGCTCCTTAAATTTACGTACTATTCCAGCATTGTACATATATGAGTGTATTAAATTTGTGTTCAAAAATAGGTCTATGGTACTAGAAGCATCTCAAATTACAATATTCCATATCATAGGTTAGCCTGTTTTGAGAAAGGGGCTCTATACTCCTGTATAAAATTCATTCACCCACACATATAGAACTGAAAGATAATTTCCAACTAGTGAAGGAGCCCATACTTCTAATGTAATCTGGAACCTTATTCTATAAATGATTATTTTGAGCAGTACCTGAATAGTGCAGCAGGTTCAGAATACTTGAATTTTGCATCCTCACTATAATAAACTGGGCGCCAATTGAAACGTTAATAGTGGAATGTGGCATCAAGTTTGACTTCTCGTAATTTCTAAAATATTGAACGAATTTTGAAATGCCGCCCAGATTCTGAATGCCTTTTTCATCGTCTTTCGAACCGTTCCTCACAGCTTCTTCTAAATTGATCAGGACCCATGATACAGTGTGATACAAAGTTTCGTGCATTTTGAAAAAAAATTCCCCGCCCCCCAATTTTGTCGGAAGACCACGATGCTCATATTTTATTCGGTCATTTCATAAATAGCAACCATACCTCGGGACATTTTCGAGTTTTTACCAAAAACTACTGTGGTTTCCGAAAAAAAAAAAAATTGTTTTGCATTTTTTTTAAATGGACTAATTTTAGAGGAGTTCCATAAATGGATACTTTCATGCATTTCAGGAAAGCGTTGTAGCAGATATGTATACCAGGTTACTCAAAAACAATCAATACTTTATTACATCGCAGTCTATGATAGAAGTTTTCTACCTTAGTGAGCAGTAAATCAACACATCTCATCAACAAAAACAAACAAGGATACATTATTAATATTTTGTTGGGCCTCCCCTGACCCTCAAGACTTCAGCCACTCTCCTCGGCATACTGTCCACTAAATTCTGGATATACAATTGGGGAATAGCCTCCCATTCACGCTGAATTGCGTTTGCCAATTCATCAAAATTTTGAAATTGGTTCCCTTGCCTATTCAACCGTAGCTTTAACTCACTCTCTAGCCCGATGGGGACGTTGTATTGTCATTAACCAACATGAACCCATCTACATAATTCCTTGCAAAGGGAACAACAACATCTATCACGATATCTTTCAGCATTCATACTCTCGCCAACTAGCACTACCAATTCCGTTCTTCCATTCCTCATTATCCCACCCCAAACAGTCACACCACCTCCTCCAAATGCCACTCTCGCCTCCATATGCTCTTCCCTATACCTTTCACCCGTTTCTCTCCACACTAAAATACGTCCATCCGAATTATGCAAATTAAAGGGCAACTCATCCACAAACAAACACCACTCCACTCGGCTACTCCCCAATTACCATGAACTCTGGCCCAATTCCTTCTGGCGGCCCGATGTTGCGGCAACAGCTGTGGACAGGCAGCTCGTCTACGGGCTCGATGGTTTCTGTCATGGAGACGCCGACGAATGGTTGAACAGGATATATTGATGTTCGTGATGTTCCTTAGTTGACTCGCATTCAAGGTTCTCCGACGATTAACTGTCAGAAGGACATGGTTATCATCCCGACGGCTTGTTGCTCTATTACGTACACCGCCATGACGGTATGCTACATTACATGTATCCTCAAAACGATGAATCAGTCTATTTATTGTCATGACTGACTTATTGAAAATTGTACTTAAATGAATTTTGGTATATCCTTATCATCGTAACCTGAAATAATAATTATCTGTACTGAATTATACAGGGTGTTACATAATTCAATACAAATATTTCAATGACATATTCTTGGGGTCAAAATAAGACTTTTTTTTCCTATAAACATGTGTCCTAAAATCCACCCCCTCCAAGCTACAAACATTTGTAGTAATTGAACCGTTTTCTGAGCGTGTAATGGTAAGTTGAGGAAAGTGAATCGATTGTGACATGACGGTTATGACATACCATAATGTCAGTTTGGCATAAAAGATATTTCGACCCGATTTAAACGAGGCATCTCGTTTTTAGGAGCCGAATTACACTGTTTTCATGAAAATTGGCAATTGATAGAACATCTATGCATGCCTACATTATTTCAAAAATACATTGTTATATCGAAACAAGGTATCGTTGTTTGTTTTTGTTGATGAGATGTGTTGATTCACTGCTCACTAAGGTAGAAAACTTTTATCATAGACTGCGAAGTAATACATTTTTGATTGTTTTTGAATTTTGAGTAACCTGGTATACATATCTGCTACAACGCTTTCCTAAAATGCATAAAAGCATCCATTTATGGAACTCCTCTAAAATTAGTCCATTTAAAAAAAATGCAAAAAAATTTTTTTTTCGGAAACCACAGTAGTTTTGGCAAAAACTCGAAAACGTCCCGAGGTATGGTTGTTATTTATGAAATGCCCGAATAAAATATGAGCATCGGGGTCTTCAGACAAAATGGGGGGGCGGAGAATTTTTTTTCAAAATGCACGAAACTTTGCTTCACCCTGTATCATGGGTCCTGATCAATTCAGAAGAAGCTGTAAGGAACGGTTTGGAAGACGATGAAAAAGGCATTCGCATCTGGGCGGCAATTCAAAATTCGTTCAATATTTTAGAAATTACGAGAAGTCAAACTTGATGCCAAATTTCACTATTAACGTTTCAATTGACGCCCAGTTTATAATATTTTATTATGTATCCATTTTTTGTCCTATTTCTGAATGTTAACTGTGACTGGCTTGTGTATATTATCAAAGTATTTATTATTCATGTTTGTAATATGTAATTTAAGTGCAATGACTTATTATTATTATTAGATAACAATGTTTCTTGGGGTAGTAAAGGCGATCAAAATTGATTGATTGACATTTTCTATTCAAGATTGTCACTGAAACAGCTGGACCTAGTACAGAAACGGATAAAGCGCACGAGCAAAGTGAAAATCCTGTATGGGCCGATAACTTACCAGCGTTATCCAGGCCCATTCTCACTATCTGTCTGGATTATTGCGGCCCAGGCAGCGACGAAGAATCCGCATGTATAACCGAAGAAGTCCAACCCACCGCAGAACAAAAGAAGAAAGCCATCCAGCGGGCCAGTAGGTTACGTCAAATCCAAGAAGAAAATCAGAAGATATCTCGCCGGCGGTTGTATCGGATCCAGGAGGAGTTTCGAGAGAGGAATCACAGACCTCTGTGTGATACAGACAGAACTTTTCTTTCTGAAGGTTCGCCTGCTAAAGTTAACTCCTCAAAGGCTATTTGCGAATTGAGCACATTTGAAATTTCGGATGAAGATGAATGTGTTGAGTCCAGTACATCAGTTCAGGGAAAATCTGACGGTGTCAAGGATGTATGCTCAAGTAGTAATAGCATCAAGGAAAATCCGGATCAACATGTGTTTTGTATTGATATAACAGATGATGATGTTCCTGCTGAAGGCACCCTTGTTGAGAAAAATCGGGAAGAAATATTTGACACTTTTACAAAGAAACTAGCTTGTGATATTGCTTGTCACACGGAAATTCAACCGAGCTCAAGCCAAAATTGTACTTCAGGAACTGAGGACAAGTTGATTGAAATATCACAAAAACAGAAACATAAAGAAGACTCTGTTATCCAAATTCTGGAAATCATTGATGAAACTATTTCAAAAAAAGAGGCTACAACAAAGATTGACAATATGGTATGCTTAGATTCTTCTGACGAAGAAACTGTGGAATGCATTGCCACCACAATAAACATTGAATTGACTGTTTCTGATGATGAAGTCAACAGTAATAAATCTGCATTGTCACTAGATCAGTCAGAACATATTGATGATACCATGCAGATTCCACGTATGAATCCAGATACTACTTGTGAAAACATATCTTCAAGTATTGTTCATGAACAAGTTGAAGTAGATTCACATATCAAAGAAATATCACCACCCTTTGAAATCAAAGACATAGCAGAAGAAGATCATGAGCAATCATCTATGATGTCAAGCAATGAAAACATAAGTGAAATAACCGTAGACCAATCAGAAAATATTTCTCTGGCAAATAAGGTGTGTAAAGAATCTACTTGTGAAGATGTATCTCCAACTATCTCTGAAGACCAAACTGAAGTATATACAGAAACCAAAGAAATTTCAACCTTTGACGGAAATGACAAAAACATGAAAAATTATGGATCACCTATGATATCTGATAATGGTCACTTAATCCAAACATCCGCTTCATCAATAGAACAATCTGAAAAAATCGAAGAAAATTCAGTCATTAGAAGAAAAATTGTTGATGAATCAGATGCAATACCTCATAATGATAACTTGATTGATGAATCTGCTTTATCAATGGATCAATCAGGAAATGTCAAAATGGCAATCGATGAAGAAAATGAAAAATCTACTCCAAGTGAAGGAGCTTCTACTTCTCAAGACAAAGTTGTAGCATCTCCAGAAATCCAGTCAGATATTGAGGAAAATGATGGAAAAACATCTGCTCTATCTGAAAATGATAGCACAATTGATGAATCTGCTTTGGATCAACCAGGAAATATGAATTTGATTAGTGATAATACCTCTCAGATTTCAAATATTGAGGATGAAGAAAAGACTTCTGAGATAAAAGCTTCTACAAAATTGAATGGAATTCCAGCTTCTGAATCATTTATTATGCCTGGCAATTATACAAACATTGTGAATTGTTCTTTGCCAATTGATCAACCAAGTAGTGATACCTTTCAGTTTTCAACTGTTGAGAATGAAGAATCAACTTCTTGTGAAGAAGCATCTTCAACTATTACTCAAGACCAAATTGTGGAAACTTCAGACATCCGATCAATTTCAGTACTCACAAATTCGATTAAAGAAAATTATGAAAAATCATCTGCCATACCTAAAAATGATGAATCTGTTTTGGATCAGCCAGAAGATATGACATTGATTAGTGGTGATACCATTCAAATTTCAACTGTCAATACTGAAGATATGCCTACATGTGAAGAAAATTCATGTATTTCTCAACAACAATCATCTTCAGAAATACAAGGATTGTCAACTTTTGAAGTCAAAGACAAATTCGAAGGAAATTATGAATCATCTACTATACCTGACAATGATACTAATTTTGAGTATTGTTCTTTACCACCAAGTGATAAGACTTCTCAGCTTTTAACTGTTGAGGATGAAGAAATGACTACTTGTGAAAAATCATCTTCTATTATATCTCAAGACCAAGATTTTGCATCTTCAGAAACCCAATCAATTTCAGTATGCGGTATGACAGATAAGATTGGAGAAAACTGTGGAAAATCTAATGCTTTACCTGAAAATGATAACAAAATTTATAAATCTGCTTTGCTAATAGATCAACCAGAAAATACGGATTTGATTAGTGGTAGTACCCTTCACATCTTAACTGTTGAGAATGAAGAAAGAATGGCTACTTGTGAAGAAGCATCTCCAAGTATTTCTCAAGACCAAATTGAAATATCTTCAGAAATCAAAAATATACCATTTGTTGAAATTCAAGACAAAATCGAAGAAAATGACAAAGAATCATCGGCTTTACCCGATAATGCCATCAACATTGAGAAATATTCTTTGGCAGTAGATCATCCAGACAATAATAATCTGACAAGGGATAATACTTCTCAGCTGTCAACAGTCATCCATCATGTATCTACAACATGTGACAATGATAGCAACTTTGAGTATTGTTCTGTTCCACCAAGTGATAATACTTCTCAACTTTCAACTGTTGAGGTTGAAGAAATGACTACTTGTGAAAAATCATCTTCAATTATATCTCAAGACCAAGATGTTGCATCTTCAGAAACCCAATCAATTTCAGTATGCAGTATGACAGATAAGATTGGAGAAAACTGTGGAAAATCTAATGCTTTACCTGAAAATGATAACAAAATTTATAAATCTGCTTTGCTAATAGATCAACCAGAAAATACGGATTTGATTAGTGATAGTACCCTTCACATCTTAACTGTTGAGAATGAAGAAAGAATGGATACTTGTGAAGAAGCATCTTCAAGTATTTCTCAAGACCAAATTGAAATATCTTCAGAAATCAAAAATATACCATTTGATGAAATTCAAGACAAAGTCGAAGAAAATGACAAAGAATCATCGGATTTACCTGATAATGCTATCAACATTAAGAAATATTCTTTGGCAGTAGATCAACCAGACAATTATAATCTGACAAGTGATAATACTTCTCAGCTGTCAACAGTCATCCATCATGTATCTACAACATGTGACAATGATAGCAACTTTGAGTATTGTTCTGTTCCACCAAGTGATAATACTTCTCAGCTATCAACTGTTGAGGATGAAGAATCGACTACTTGTGAAAAATCATCTTCAATTATATCTCAAGACCAAGATGTTGCATCTTCAGAAACCCAATCAATTTCAGTATGCGGTATGACAGATAAGATTGGAGAAAACTGTGGAAAATCTAATGCTCTACCTGAAAATGATAACAAAATTTATAAATCTGCTTTGCTAATAGATCAACCAGAAAATACGGATTTGATTAGTGGTAGTACCCTTCACATCTTAACTGTTGAGAATGAAGAAAGAATGGATACTTGTGAAGAAGCATCTTCAAGTATTTCTCAAGACCAAATTGAAATATCTTCAGAAATCAAAAATATACCATTTGATGAAATTCAAGACAAAGTCGAAGAAAATGACAAAGAATCATCGGATTTACCTGATAATGCTATCAACATTGAGAAATATTCTGTGGCAGTAGATCAACCAGACAATAATAATCTGACAAGTGATAATACTTCTCAGCTGTCAACAGTCATCCATCATGTATCTACAACATGTGACAATGATAGCAACCTTAAGTATTGTTCTGTTCCACCAAGTGATAATACTTCTCAACTTTCAACTGTTGAGGATGAAGAATCGACTAATTGTGAAAAATCATCTTCAATTATATCTCAAGAACAAGATGTTGCATCTTCAGAAACCCAATCAATTTCAGTATGCGGTATGACAGATAAGATTGGAGAAAACTGTGGAAAATCTAATGCTTTACCTGAAAATGATAACAAAATTGATAAATCTGAAGAAAGAATGGCTACTTGTGAAGAAGCATCTTCAAGTATTTCTCAAGGCCAAATTGAAATATCTTCAGAAATTAAAAATATACCATTTGTTGAAATTCAAGACAAAATCGAAGAAAAAGACGAAGAATCATTGGCTTCACCTGATAATGCCATCAAGATTGAGAAATATTCTTTGGCAGTAGATCAACCAGACAATAATAATCTGAGAAGTGATGATACTCCTGAGCTTTCAACAGTCATCCATCATGTATCTACAACGCGTGAAGAAATTGAAGAAATTACTGTTGCCACTATCAAAACTGAAGATAAATATCCCGATGTAGTACCTGATAATGACGGCAATATCAAGGCATCTGAAATATTGATGGATCAATCAGAAAATATTATCCTGACAAGTAATCCATTATCTGATGGTATTGAAGCAGCTACTACTTATAAAGAAGTAATTGATGTTTCTGAGTCATTCAAAGTGCCATCCAGTCCTCAGCATTCGAATAATGACAAAATCCAACGTTTTGAGACTTGTGAAGTTCAAGATCAGTTTTATGCAGGAACACCTTTGAATGATGCTCCTGTAACTGAAATTGAGGTTACCATAGAAACTTTACCTGTAGAGCAAGTAATGCTAGAACTCACTAAACAAACACATACTGAAGACGACTCCACAAACCAAGAAAAAATATCTAATCAGAATTCCACTGTTGAATTTAGCCCTCCACCTGTGAAAAAAATTGACTCTATATCATTTGATCCAAAATCGCCATGTCCCCCCACGTGCCCTTTGTCAGATGACCAATTTGAAGACATCTCTGTGTCTGAAGATCCTGTTGACGATATTTCTTCATCAGAAGACCCAGTTGAAGAGGTCCGTTTATCAGAAAATCCAGATGAGGATATTCCCATTCCTGTGAGTCATGTTGAGGTTGGAGATTTCTCAGAAGACTGCCTTGATAAAATTCCAGATGAAAATCAGTTATTGACACAAGTCATTGTTGAACCAAATGATGAAGATGTAACAAAACCACTTCAAATATCAACGAATGTGGAATCAAGTGAAAATGTTGGTACAGAATTATATCTTGAAGAACATGTGACGAGTGAAGTTGAAATCGTTACATCCTCTGAAACTGTCTCTAATATACACTTGTCTCCACAAATCAAAGATGAACAGAGACGGGAAAATCAATTCCAAGAAAAAAATGGAGTTGAAGGGATCAAAGTGAAACAAATCAATGAAGGTTTTTCACAGAACCATGCATATGATGATAAAATTGCAGAAATAGTACCTGAAGATTCCCTTTCAAATATGCGACAGAAATGTGTAGACACTCAAGTGACAAATATCTCTGAAGAAATGCAATCTACAACTCATTATTATGATCGTCCTGAGATCGACAAATTGATTGAAAAGTACACCAACATTCAGGAAACAGGAAGTAAAAATGAAAAGAGAAAAAGTCGTACTGCTGTTTCTTGTGAAGTAACTCATACATCAGAGCCGTTAGATTTATCAAAAGATAGTATCAAGAACGATTATAGTTTTGAAAGTCTCGATTCCCAGGACAATCAAATAGTCAATGATCTCAATCTTTGTAGTGAAGAAGTTGTTGCTACAACTTCAAAACCCACTGGGTATTTGCTTCTTTTAGCTTCTGCTGCTGAGAAAATTGACCCGTTTGGAATTGAATACAAAAATAATCGTGAAAAAACTGTGCCTGGCAGTTCCAAATTGTCTAGGAAAAAACAGACACCAAGAAAAGTCAACAATTCCAAACAAGAAAACAAAAGAGTAACTAGAAGTCAAACCACTAAACCCTTGTATATTTCTACTTTCAGTCCCTCCGATGTTTTTTCTATAAAAACTGATTCACTTCCAACTGCAAAAAAAATGTATACACATAAACTGCCGGATTTCTCGTTCACAAGCGAAGAAAGTAATGATAGTGAGAGTAATAGATTAATGATCAATGAAGATGAAGATGTATGTTCGAAATCAACAGTGAAAAAAGAAAACAAAGAGAATTCTGAACCGCAAGAGGAAATCTCAACATTTTGCTTTCAAGGTGAGAAAAATACTTTTGATATTATATCAAAAACAGCTGTTTCTGCAACTACTTTGGAAACTGAAGATAACTCTTCTCAGGTTCCTATTGCAGAACAACAGCAACAGTTTTCAGTTAATCTACACAATACTTCTCTTGAGTCACTTGTTGAAATAAATAATAAATCTTCTATTTCACGGGTTAAAACTCCAGGACAACGGAAATTGTACAGTACCCCGAATCTGTATGTGAACATCCAAAGGATTGAGGAAAATAATTCTCCTATGGATGAGGTAGACTTGCTAACTGATACTGCGGATATCGAAGGCAATACTAAGGGAATACAAAATGTTGTGGTGTCATTGAATAATCCTGTATCCAATGACTTCAATTCTGTATTGAGTAAAGAAGACGTGAGAATAAACTTACCGAGGTCCGATGAGCTGAAAGCTATAGATATTGATGAACTTCCACTTGCTGAGAGAATCGAAAAAGATACCAACAAGTCCGGAAGGACTATTGAATCATCTGGTTTGAAATCGTTTGAAAGTGGTAGCGGCAGCAGTTCAACTGAGCTTATTTCGATACCAAATGAAACGAGTGACATAAAAAAACAAAGTGAATCTGAAATAAAAAACTACTACATATTACCGAAACTGAGAGACAAGGATGGTCTCAAAAGGTTATCTCAAGTAGATACTGATCCAGATAGAAATGATTTTGCTTATGGTAGTGAAACCACTTCGTCTCCTGATAAAAAACAACTTAAGCATCCCAAATTGAGAGGAAAACCAACAGCGGCCTCTAAAGATTGTTCTGAACCATTGACGTGGAATTGCAAAAAAAATACTGTATCGCCAACAACAGAAAAGCTGATGAAAAAGTTGTATCATCTTGAATCAGTATTTCCAATTGATACTGGTGTAAAAAAAATTATGGAAATAGCAAACAAAACGGAAGTTGAGAAAAAGAATGAAGGAGTTAAAGTACTTATTGCTGGTATTACAACTAAGAATGAAATTCCACCAACTAAACCTTCAGAGGCTGATCCATCTTCAGAAGTCTGTTTCCATACGTCCAGTGGATCCATTTTGGAGCAAAATGAAGATGAACAAGAATTTGACAGCTGTCCAGTGGAAAAGAAAACGATTCCAAGTTCACTTGTAGCAGATAAACAGGAAATTGACAAATTAACTTTGAGTGATACTGCCAATGAAAATAGTGGTATTATTGAAAAAAAAGAGAAATTGTCACTTCAGAAAGATGCAATGATATCTTCAAGAAAGAAAAAAAGCGGTGGAAGAAAAATCAGTGAACACCCATTACATAGCAGAACTTTGCCAGGTGATACCTGTGTAACAGTATCTCCAAAGAAATGTGTTGACACACCATTAAAACAAAAAATTACTTATGGAATTGCAGATTCGTCCAAGCACTTCAGCAGAAAAAGGAAGGGAACTGAACAGAATGACCTGGGATCTGATATATTAATTGAGAATGATACTAAGAATCTACAAACAGGAATTGTTGAAGAAATAGTATTGAGCAATTTGGAACAAAATGAAATAGCAGATTCCAATGACCAGAAAGACGAAACTTATGCTATTGTAGATACATTCAAGAAGGCTTCAAAAACCAAACGTAGAACACGATCCCAATCACATCATAAGGAACAAGAAAAAAAACGTCAGATCAAAAGGGAAGAAAAAATTTGTAGCGATTTATTAGAGAAAGACGAATCAAAGTCAACACATTCAAATGACGATGTAGGACCAAAAAAGATGTCCGTTGCTAGTGAAAGAAAAAGGTTAATATCACATTCAAGTAAAGAGGTAGATGAAGGGAGCATTGAAGAAAATCTTGATGAAGTTTTAGTGAGTAAAATTAAGTCCAAATCAAAAAGGAAAAGCAGCGTGGAGAAAAAATTGTCATTAACATCTAAAACAGACAAACAAGAGATTAAATTAGGAGAAGAGAAACACAGTGATTTAGTAAAGACGGAGTCGGAGGCGAAACTTGAAAATTTTCCTACCTCTACAAAATGTGTTAACTATGATTCACAGAGAAGAAACGATGGAGCCTATTCAATCAACCAGTTATTGAAAGATAATTTGACAGATGAAAAAAATAAAATCGAGGAAGAAACATCTAAAAGATCGCCAAGAGTAAAATCAAGGATATGTTCACGATCACATAGCAAGGAAAATGAGAAGAACATTAAACCTCAAGCAGAAGAAAAAAATCACAATGTTTCAGTAGTAGAAGTCAAAAGTAATGCCGTACCAAGTGGAAAACAACGGAGGAAATTACATTCAAGCAATAAGAGAGCTAAAAGTATCAGTGAAGAAGAAGAGCTAAATACAGTTACCGTTAGTAACACTGAGTGTCAGTCGAAGAACAGCATAGAGAAAAAAGAACCGAGACAAATAATAAAAGGCAAAGAAAAATCATGCGATAGGTTAACAAATGTGAGATCCAGGTCACATTCAAATAAAATTGAGATATTCAAAGACACAATTGATCAATGTCATCTGTCTGAAATTGCCTGTGATGAAAAATCATGTCAGCCATCTAGTACTACCAATGAAGACAAAATTGTGGCTGATATAAAGGAAGATGAAATACCTGAAAACAAAAGAAGAAAGTCTAGTTCTTCGAGATCAATACCTAATCACAGTGTGGAAGTTAAAACAGAAGAATTACTCGAAATTAGTAGCTATCGCAGGGCTAATAATTCACGATCTAAATCTATTAGTGATGAAAAAAATTATGAGAAAGCTGAAGACAACAGGAGTAGGATAAAACCGGTATATTCTGTAAGCTCCTCCACCAAAGAAGACACAGTGATAACGGATACATTGAAAGAAAAACTGGATGAAAAGAAGAGAAGAAAATCTAGTTCTTCAACATCAATATCTGGAAACAGGAAAGAGGCAAGTTCAAGAACGAAAACTAAGAGTACTAACTCTAATTTGAATTTGAAGAGTAAAAAGGATACAGCGGAGACTGCAAATCTTGAAAAATCGAAACTTATTCAAGATAATGAGAAACCAAGGAAAGTTAGAAGTGAAAACAATATATCATCTGGAAAATCTGTACTGCAACCACATGTTGATGAAAACAAAGAAAAAGAGCGAATAATGCAGGATTCAAAATCAAACAACCTCGTTTTTGTCGACCATGACATAGGGAATGATTTCTCTAGTTGTTTACGAAAGAAATCAAAGTTAGAAGATAATCCAGCCTCTGATTGTAAGCCTGATGAGAAAAAAAGTAGAGTACTTAGTGTAAAATTAACTCAAAACAGTTTCAACAATTCATGTTCACGCATAGAGCCTGATAGCCAAAAAGATGAAAAATCATTTGAAACATACGAGAAAGAATTGTCAGATATGCTGAAAGACACAGACAGGAAAAAAACTATTCATGAAGAAAAAGAGAGAAACGCAGAGCCTATAAGTCGTGCAAGGTCTAGGTCAGGTTCACATACGGATAAGAAGGTGCCCGAATCTTATGTAGGTCAAAGCTCTTCAGAAGTGTTTGAAGATTCAAACAATCCATTAGTTGCGAATAAAGAAACTATTTCTGCATTATCTGGTTTGAAAAATAAAGAAGTTATTGGAGTCGTTTCAAGTTTTGTTGATGAAACAAAAATCGATAAAATATCAGAAAAACACAAAAAAGGTACTCTAGATCCAAACCTGTCAAGTCTAAATATTATAGAAACACCTAATGAGGAAAACAAAAATAGAGATTCTAATATTCTTACAAGAACTCATTCAAATTCAGGTACTCATAGGATTCAAAGAAGAAAATCTAGAAAAGCTAGACATATTCCTAAGGTTTCTGAAAATGTAGGTAGTTCTGTATCGATAGTTCCCAAAAAAGAAACAAAAATTTCATCATCCCACTCAAAAACTGTGACAAATGATATAATCCCCACAAGTTCTGTCAATATGCCAACTGAGGAAGTATCAGCAAAAGTGATTAAAGAAATTGAATGTGATACTCCTCATTCAAATAGTCGGAATGGAGATGATGTAGGAACAAATAATAAGGAGGCAAATAGTCAAGATCTCAGTCATTCAAGATACCATTCAAGAAATGATGAGATTGGAAAGAAAAATCCTGAGCAAGGCAAAATTATTGATGTCAGTCCTGAGGTTCCTGAAGAAGATTCAGATAATTGTCCATTGACAGTTTTCGAGAAAAAAACTGAAATTTCATCACCAATTAATATGATCCTTGAAAATTCTGACGATATTTCAATTGCGAAAATGTGTGGAAATTTTATAGAAGAAATTAAATGTAGTCAAAGTGAAAATGATGTAGAAATAAATGCTGAGGAGGGGAAAAATCAAGATCTTATTAATTCAAGGGTCAATGAAATTGTGAAAACAAAAACTAAGGGAAGAAAATATGTTTCGGTGGTTTCTGATAAGGATTCAGATAGTTGTCCATCGACAGTTTCCAAAAAAGATACTGAAATTTCATCACCAAATAATATAATTCTCCAGAACTCTGTTGAGCAAACATCTGGGGAAAATATTGAAGAAATTGGATGTACTTCTTTCTATTCAAACAGTCAAAGTGAAAATAATATAGAGGAAAATAATTCAAGAAATGATGAGATTATGAAGAAAAAAACTAGGGAAGCCAAAAACATTTCTGAAATGTCTGTGGATCCTACAGCGATTGAGAAGACATCAGAAAATATCAGTGAAGGAATAAAAAATTATATGGTTCCTTCAAGCATCGAAAGTAAACCAGGTTTTGAGGTTGAAGTAACAAAAATGTCCTCTAACAGTATTCTTCCAAGTTCATGCAATATTACAATTGATGAAGCACCAGAAAACGACACCAAAGGAGCTAGTAATAAAACTCTCCATTCAAAGTACCACAGTGAAATGATTGAAACAGAAAAACATTTAAATTTCATTCCTTCAAGATCACATTCAAGGGTTGATGATACTGTAAAGAGAAAAACAAAGAAAGATAAAAATTCCTCGAAAGTTTCCGATGAAAATACTAGTGATCTGTTGGAAGTTCACAAAAAGGAATTCAAAAAATTATATCCTGCATTACCATGCCACAAAAATATTCAAAGTCCTTCATTGTCTGACGACTCTCAAATAATTGAAACACCATTAAAAAATGCAACTGAGGAAGCAAAACATTCTGAAGAAGATGAATTACATAATGTTTACAGAGACACTTTAGTTTGTTCGTTGATGATTGAGAACATAGGAAGTGGAACTGCACCATCACATTTTCCTAAAATAATTGAAAAATCATCAAGTAACACAACTGAAGATAGCAAAACTATCATTTCTAAAGATACTGAAAGAGATATAAGTGGTATATTGTCAGAAGAGAGAGAAGGAGCTGAGGTATCATCGTCTAACTTGAATGAAATTAGTGAAAACATTTATAATTATTCTGATAGTATCTCAACATCCCAGTCAAATTCTTCAATAATAATTGATGATAATAAAAAGAGGACATTGTTGGAAAAAGAAATTAAAGAAAAAGAACAGCTTGGAAATATTAAAATGCTCCCACGTCCTTTTCAAGGTGAAAACAATGTAGAAAAAAATTGTAAAGAAGAAAACTTTGTTCTTATTCCACATTCAAGTACTCCAAAGAGAAAAACTAGGAGAAGTAAAAGTTCTTCAAAAAATTCTCAAGATAACTACAATAGTAGAAGCAATACAGTCCCAGAAGTTGATGCAACCAAAATTTTATCATCTTATTCACAAGATATTAAAACACTTTCGAGTTTTGTGGATTCTACAACAGTTGGGAAAACATCTGAAAGTGTCATTGAGGAAACAAAGAGTTTTACTCTCCATCCAAATTTTGAAAGTAAAACAGTTGTAGAAGACAAATGGGAAAATGTAATTTCTTCACGACAAAATTCAAGGACTATAAAGAAAAAAATTGAGGAAAATAAAATTTCCTGTTTAGTTCCTGAAGAAACTACAAATAGTGATCATTTAACATCAACAGATTTATCAATCATCTCAAAAACCTCAGATAATACAATTAAAGATATAAAAGAAAATTATGCTGCTGAAATAGAAAAACAGGAAGTTTCTAATATCATTTCAAAAAGACAGACACCAGAGATTTGTAAGAATGTCCATGAAGAAAATTTGAGTACTTCATTATTGGTTAAGAAACAAGAAATAGGAATTTCAACACCAGAATATCTACCAACAATTGAAAAAAAATCAGAGGTCCAAAATTTTACAGTTCCTGACCCAATTCAAGGTGATGATTTCAAGCAAGAAAATAATGACAAGGAGACCAATAAAAAATCGGGAATACAGAAACAACCTGAAAGTTCTTCGAAAATTTCCGAAATTTTGATCAGTTCATTGGTGGCTGAAATTGAAGAAGCCAAAATTTCATCATCTGGAATATCAAATGAGAAAATTCCTCGAGAAAGTTTGAATACTTTCAATATCAATGACAAAAAATCAAATACTGCTGACTATTGCTCTAACATAATTTACAAACCTTCCGAAACAATAAAATTGGAAGAATCCATACCCCAAATCGTAAATGTTCTTGAATCGGAATATGTGGTGAAGGAAGCGGCAAAAACAAAAACACAAGATGACTCAACAGTGCTTATATCAACAATCGTGAACCATAACAAAGGAGCCATTAATCAAGAAGAATGCGATAATTTTGATAGCAAATCATTATTTGAGACGAATACGACTGAACAAACTCATTCTCCTACACCTGAATATGGTTTGATTTTAGACAAATTAAAAGAACGTTGTCAAACTCCCAGAGGATACAATGTCGACAATTGTTTTGACTTTGTTGAAAATCCAAGTGTGGTTTCTCACCAGTCAGATGAAATTGATGAGCAATTGAAAGCATCTGAAGATGACATGATAGTGGTAAATAAAGAAATTACCAACGTATCAAAAAATAATCGCAAACGAAAGAGATCAAAGGCTTTGGATGATGAGGTGAAATCTAAGGAAAATTTGGTGGATGTGCTTGAAAATAATTGTAATACTAGTATTTATGATGATTTCCACAAAGCTAGGCCGTCAACAAGTTCTGTGTTGTCAATTTCATCTAAAAAACAAGATAGAAATTTGCTTGAGTGTTTAGTGGACTCTTCTAGAGAAGAGAAAGAACATTTTAGCAGTGACTCTTACGTGGAACCAGAATCTACTGTTGATTTCAGTCAACTAAGGGACAAAAACAATTTCTTCACGACAAACGACTTCAATAGAAAATACATGTCATTTTTGCGACCAGAACAAAAAATGAGAGACAGATTTCCTGTGAAAAATTCGAATAACCATGTTACCGAAGATGCTGTTACTACACATGAGAACCCTCAAATGGAAATCGGACATTCTACTTCATCCGGTCAACTAGAGACCGAGGAAGAAATAACAAAATTTGACATTCCAGAAATTGACTCTGAAATTGTCATATCGTCCGACGAATCTTCTAGACTCCCGAGCAAAACAGATCTGCTGCCATTCGCTTACCCCAATGGCAGTGATGCAATGCTACTACGACAGTTGGAAAACTATGATCAGCAAGACAGACCATTGTCAGATTGCTTCAGCTGTCTTCCCAGCAACATCCTGGAGGTTTTAGTGGCTGCCCAGCCTGTTCCTCAGGAGGATAAGGGAGTGGTGTCCTATATGAACATGGGTATGGATGCATCATCAAAGTCTTGTGTGAACGATCCTGCTTATTTGTCGGGTATTGGCGTATCAGAGTATCTGGAAAAACTCAACGCGACGAGCTCCATCCGAGTGCAGACCAGCTCAGTGCATCAAACTTCGATAAACATCTCGCACAATGACGATTTTCTGCAGAACTCTCGATTGTACAACTCGTCTCTAGATCAGGACAATAATTTCTCTTTGATTTCCGGAAACTCTGACATGGCTGCTAACTCGAGGCTGTCTAATACATCATCGATGACGTCTAGAGGTGTGTCCGTCATTTCTGAGGTAACCACCATAACGTCGAGAGAAAGACTGGTGTATAATATGCAGGGTAGGGCTGCGACAGATATTCCATTGGATACTGTTCATGCTAGACAGTCTATGAACCAGGTGCAGATATCACGGTCGAGCAGGCTCATCAGTAGGGTATCTGGATCTAGGACAATTCCCGAAGGGTATCATCCCTTGATGGAAATCACAGTCAGCAATGGCGAGGACCATACTTATTCTAATTCAGGTGAGTGTTTTGAAGCAATAGATCTAACTGTATTCATAAATAATTCACACAAAATTACTTATCATTTTTCCATCTTGCGTACCATTAGTTTCTCTTTAGGTAGTCGGGATAAAGTGATTCGAATTTCAATTAAGCTTATCCACCATGATCTAATACCTAACAGAACAATATTTATCTTAAAAAAAAACGGTGCTTTCTTGTTTCTATTTATCGTTTTTCTTTCAATCAAAACAACTATGTATCTCTACTACCTTGCAAGATAACAAACCTTTATAATGGTGAGATAGTTGAAAAATAACCTGTATTATGTGAATAATATTGTGAAAAAGATATCTATTGAACATTTCCTTGAATATTTTAGTATAAATACTGAGTTTCTATAACATTTTATTTCTGAATTCGAAGATGTCAGTAATTTTTTTAAGAAAAAACTGAAATACATTTTTAATCCAAAACCGATACAGATAGGGGTAGGGAAATACCAGGAAAAGTTATGAGGAAATTGATGAACATTTTGAAAATTGAATTAGATACAGTGGTTCCATTTGAAATATCGAAGTTGCTACTAGTTTCTAATGGAGGTGCTGCTGTCGAAAATATTTTATATACAGAATATTGAATTTGTACATGCCCATCATACAATCAGGGATTGGGTAACTTGGATCCCTTGATATTTACACTTTCTTTTTTCACTTTCTGAAATATATATTGCTTAAACTAGATAACCTGTTAGTCACATTTCAAATTGTCAGTCCCTTCTAACATTGATTTGCCTATAATGTTCATAAATGCGGTGGTTAAACGTTCTACCTGTCTGACCTATGTATACCTCAGGACAAGATCCACAATTCAGGTTTTATACTCCTAATTTTTCGAATTTAGGTGTTTTGTCTTTATACATTTTGTCTTCATTAGTTTTGATGAACTAACCAAAATTTTATTTGTTCTATAAGCAATTCAATTTGGAAATCGATAGCCAGCAAAAAATGGCATAGAAAGCTTTGTGATCCATAATCAGATCAGAGCTTCAATTGAGTATTAGCACTACTGAGAGGCCTTCCTCATAATCAGGAATATTGCGAAATCAAGCAAAAAATGGGTGGCATTGAGATAAGTGCAAATATGTCATGCCTTAGTAAGCTCGACGTATACTATCGAGTCACCTCTGTTCATATTTTCGTGCGGAATGCACAAGCACGCGGATATCATATTGTTTTCTCGTTTGTTGTCCCAATCTTCGGGATGAATTTTATTGTTAATTAGAAGAATTAGGAAAAATCTGATATCATTAGAGATATCGTTAGACTGTATCATATCGATGTACTGATTATATGTACATAGTTCAAAAACACCTTGTATATGTCCTGAAGGCCAGAAAGTTAGATGAGATTACATGTACATAAAAAGTTTGTGTACCTCAACTTGAATCCAATATGCCCAATTTGACCTTTCCTGTATAGTTTAGTCCCTAATGATCAAAAAATTATTTCGTGCTTCAAGAATGAAAATTATCTTTTTCAGCTGATCCTGTTATTGGAGGAAGTATTGGTGGTGAAGACAGATACTTCACAAGCTCAATAGACACAAACCCAGAATTAATGCTCGAATTGAGGGACATCATTCCGGATGACTATAAACTGAACGAGTTCAACAAATCCACTATAGAAAATTTGTCTATGATTGCAAATGATATTTTTGAAGAGAGTAATGATAAAAAGGAGTCAGATTTCACTGTTGAGCCATCTGTCAATAGTGGGCACACGCCGTCATGTGAAGAGTGTTCAACACCGGTCTCTTCATTGTCTCGCAGTGCTGAGGCGGCTGTCATAAGTCAAAGTGCGGACGAGAGCAATGATAAGAGAGAATTGGACTGTATTGCTGAACCTAGTATCAATAGTCGGCAAACAGGACCTTGGGAACAGATAATTGAGAATGATAATAATCCACAGAAAGTGTTGGTTGTACCGAATGATCAGTCAACACCTTTATTCACAATGTCTCACAGTGATATATTTAATTCTTTCAGAGAGCCAGATTATGGTAGTCCTGAGACTAGTAACAATTCTATATCTAGTCTTACAAGTGATTCTTGTGTTGTTGGATCACATATTGTCAAAAACGATACAAAAGTCTCGGGTATTGCAAATAACTCACCGAAAGATAATAATTCTAGTGCTATGAAATCGGAGACCCCCAAGAAATCGCAGAAGAGTGAGAAATGCCAAGAACCTCAGGAAATGTTCTTGCCTACTAGAAAATACAGCAGGACTTGTCCTTCGAAGTGGATTCGAAATACAAATCAACAATCGGTTAGTAACCAGAAAACACCCATCCAAATAAAAAAAGACATTAGTTCTGAACAGTCCAGTTCAACTGAAAGTATATCAACGGATGATTTGTTGAAACTACCATTAACAAAAGCAATAGACACCGGATCAGTTCTCCAAAACATTCCGGATACCAGAGAAAAATCGCGAACCGACATGGCATCATCGAATACCAATTTCCCAAATTTACCTAAAACCTCTCCTTTGATTTCAGATACTAGCCATCCAATCCCCTCTCTCCCCGAGAAAACCACCCCGGTTCAGTGCAAGGTCCAAAATCCCAACCATCCCCAAAAAACGAACCAGACGAAGCACACCTCCTTGGTATTGAACAACATCCCGTGTCCGAAAAGCTCCCCCACGACCAACACTAGGGACATCCAACAAGTGCTAGCCCCGCGTCCCAAAATCGCGAACCCCCTTATCGAAAGGAAACCACCGGAAAAGAAGCCATCCGAAGAAACGAGCGACGTGCGACTCGACATCGCCGGAACCGTCAAACTGCGGAAGCGGACTGCCACCACTCTCTACTCGGCCAACTGCGACGTGAGGAACCCGACGCCAAAGAGGAAGAGGACGCCCAAGAGGAAGAGGACGACGCGCGTGCCCAAACCGACCTGTCAACCGACTGTCAAGACGTACCAGAGCCCAGGCGGACCGGTGACTGTCACCACAGAGAGCGAGAATCCGCTGAGGATTCGGTTGAAGGTCGGGGACAAGTCGGCGAAGGGTGGTGGTCAGAGCGGGTCTAGAAGCTCCAGCGACTACACCATCCACAAGATATTGAATTTGCAAGACGAAGGCAACGTGAGTACGAATTTGCATAAAAAACCTTCACAAACCATAAGATCTCCACAAAATAGGTGAAACAGGTACTCATTTTACTAAGAACGTTTAAAACGGGCAAGGTGTACAGGGTGGGCGTTTTCATAGGATATCTCAGTAACTGAAGGAGTTATCAAAAAATCGATATACATGTTACGGGTTCGATTTTAGAGAAACCATGAATGGTACAGGGTGATTCACCATAAATGTCCCCTTATCTAGCTCAGTTATTTTTTAACCGATTTTAAAATTTGAAATCTCATCTTGAATGATTTTTGATAAAGTTTTTTTCCGCTACATCAGAAAATACAGGGTGGTCGGAACAAACGATCTACAGGGTACTATTTGATTTTTTTAAATGAAACACCCTATTTTTCATTGTATTTTTAGATTCTCCCTGAAGAGCTGATTTATTTATTTATTTATTTTTATTTATTTATTTATTTATTTATTTTTATTTATTTATTTATTTATTTATTTATTTATTTATTTATTGAACAAATAACTTCCAGACAGAATAGGCTCTGGTATAAGGAAGTACATAATTATATACCTATAGGTAAACATAGCATCATTCAAAATATATCAACAATTGTAAATTGGCAAACAAAGAATAATATTTGTAAATGAAAAAAAAAAAATGGCATAATTAATTTTATCCAGTCCGCTGAGAAATAATCATTTTTTTTTACTTCATTTTTGAATATACCTATATTTCTGCAATTTTTTATATTATCAGGTAGTTTATTGAATTCAGTTAAGGCTGAATGAGTGAATCTTTTTTGTCCGATTAGGGAGCTAGCGGCGTCAAGATGGAACAAGTTATATTGTCTAGTTTCATGATTATGAATTTCAGAATTCCGTATCAAAATAATATTCGACTTCAATTTTTTATTTATGATATTATATGATATTTTGAGAGTTTCAATTCTATATATTTCATCTAAAGAATACGTATTTGTTATTTCATACAATTGATTGGTTGGTGTATCAAATGGGAGACGATACAATACTTTTAACGATTTTCTATATAATGTTGATATTTTATTGAAATTATTTTTTGAACAAGATCCCCAAACATTTATTAAATAGTTGATACGACTCAGTATATGAGAGTAGAGAATCATGTTTGCAATTTTAATATCAAGTTTGGGACATCTTCTCAATGCACCAATAATTGGAGATATTTTTTTTGTCAGAACATCAATATGTATCACACTTGGGGTCTAGCGGGAATGATTACAGAGATATAGGGTGTTCAAAATCGAGTTTTTTCAACTTTAGGATTTTTTTGTGACGAAACTATTCATTATCGGTCACGCGGTTTTCATGTCCGTATCTTAACTTTTGATTTACTATCTACTGACATTTAATAATTGAAACAGATACAGGGTGACCAGAATTCTGAATCCTGAACCACCCTGTAAATGTTCCAATTAAATTTCACTAGATAGTAAATCAAAAGTTGAGATAGGAACATAGAAGCCGTTTTGACCAATAATGAATAGTTTCGGCACAAAAAAATCCTAAAGTTGGAAAATCTCGATTTTAAACACCCTATATCTCTGTAATCATTCCCGCTAAACCCCAAGTGTGATGCATTGATGAAATCAGCTCTTCAGGAAGAATCTGAAAATATAATAAAATACAGGGTGTTCCATTTAAAAAAATCAATTAGTACTCTGTAGATCGTTTGTTCCGAGCACCCTGTATTTTCTGATGCAACGGGAAAAAATTTCTGAAAAATCATTTCAGATTATCTTTCAAATTTTTGAAATGGCTCAAAAATAAGTGAGCTAGAGGGGGGGGGCATTTATGGTGAATCACCCTGTACAGTTGGAATTTTGATATCTTCATTCGTTCTAGAGATACAGGGGGAAATTGAAAAATTGCCGATTTCGTTTTTATTTTCTGAGTACTTTATGAAGAGAGATATTGAAAAATCTCAAATTCTAATCCATATCGAATGATGTGTAGAATCCATTGGCATCATCAGAAATTTTATACAGGGTGACATCAAGAAGATACGGCAGTCATTTTTTTTTCTAATGGAACACCCCGTATATTTTAGCACAGTTGGATATTCCTAGGCATTCCATATTCAAATATATATATTAACATACCCTTTTCTTCGACATTTTCAGGAATATTCGCAAAAATATACTCAATGTGTCACATTTCTCATAGTTGCACCTCTGTATCTTCCGTTTTAATCATTGAGGTAGGATTACGGATTCCCAGCTGTGAGAGAGATGACAATTATACACTGGAGGATCGAGTGGGATCATCTCCAGTGATAACACTGCTCGCCAGCAGCTATGGAATCAATGACATCTCTGGAAAATGCTATAAAGAGGCAGAATATAGGTTGAAAATGATACTCTGTATATGTGTTTGACTTGTGTTCCCAACTTTGTTTATTTTAAATTACAAACTACAGACCCATTGCAATTATATCTGTCTTCTCAAAGTTAATCGAGATTATACTCTCGGAGATTATTTATGAACACGTTCGTCGGTCGATTTCAGAGTTACATGGTTTGGTCAAATGTCGGAGTAATGCAACAAACTTGTGTACATTCACTCAATTTGTTTCCAGTACACTCGATAGCAAGAAACAGATTGACGTGATCTACGCGGATTTCAGCAAAGTCTTTGATCGTGTTTCTCACCAACAGCTGATAAATAAATTATCTTCATTCGGAATATCACAACCGATTCAAGAATTATTGAGCTCATATTTAATGGATAGGCGTTTATTCGTCGAAAATGAGGGCGTGAAATCGTATACCTTCTCTGCTCTTCTATTTCTCCCATTTGTTAATAATGTCTGTTCGTCTATACAATCACACAAATTACTATACGCGGATGATATGAAGATATTTAGAATTATTGATGACGAATCGGATTGTATATCTTTGCAGATTGATGTGAATGCACTTAATGTTTGGTGTGCTGTGAATAAATTAAACCTCAATGTCGAAAAGTGCAAGGTTATGACTTACACCAGAAGAACGAATCCAATAGATAATTTGTATACATCTTAATGCATCTCTCTCGTGTTACTCAATCCAAAGATCTAGGAATAATATTCGACAGTAAACTTTCGTTTCCCCTCCATATTGATATCATCATCGTATCCAGTGCAACTAAATCGTTGGGATTTCTGATGAGCAATTGCAGAGATATAAATTCTTCAGATTCTTTGAAAGATGTTTACAATTCCCTTGTGAAGAGCAAACTCAGTTATTGAAGTTCTGTGTGGAATCCGAATCATGAGAGATTCATCACTACTATTGAAAGAGTGCAAAAGAAATTTCTCATTTATTGTTTTATGAAAAAGCATGGAGTATATCCTGTTCGAGGTTATAACTATGATCAACTTCTCAGTGAGTTTGAATTCGAGTCACTTCACAAAACTAGAAAAATTAGTTATCTTACATTTATATACAAAATCATCCACAATCTCGTGTTCAACACGACATGTCGCAGCGACAATGGCTGCTTAACAAAATGTAATCTGTATTTTACCCCCTTTTGGGAAACAAATTTTAATATGTTTGTTAGCTTTAAACTGGAACAGAGATATTTTTATGGACTAATTTCCCTGTTAACCTGACGAGTATGCACTGATGATGAATTAACAGTCGAAAGCGCCCTGCTATGAATATAAATTTGAATAAATTATCTTGCACAGAGATTATACACTCCCCATAATCTCTGTCTTGCACGAAATACAACACTTCCCTTCTTTGGTATACATATTTCAGACAAGTGATCATATAATATTATACCTTGCCCACTAGGTTATTCAAATCGATAATTGTGTGACAATGTGATATATTCGATTTGATTTCATCACCTCTTTCAGGCGAGCACAAAAAGGCATTCTCTCAGAACCGAGGAAAAACCTGCTAAGGTCAGGAAAGTCGAGACTTCACGTACTAGTACGAAGGACGATCTGTTCGATAGGCTCAAGGACGAAGGCAATATCAACGTGTTGTTTTCTAACAATAAAACGTATGACAAGTACCATGACCGGGATGTGCCTAGGACCAAAGACCATCAAGTGTCACCTTCGATCAGGGAGGACGCCAATCGGGTTTCTGCTGCTTCTGCCGTGAAAAAAGAAACTTCTAGGTAAATATTTTAAACTAGTTATTTTATTGGTATAAATAAGGAAAGAGCCGATATCGTATCATTGTAAAGGCGAGTGGACTATTTGTTAAAATTTCTTGAATAGAGTCATCCTTTCAATTTCTTATTTTCATGGATCTAAAAAAGGCTTTTGATACAGTTGACCACAATATACTTCTGAAAAACCTTGCTTCAATGGGAATCAGAGGAATTGGACACGATCTCTTGAAATCATATCTTGAAAATAGAACTATTATAACTAAAATTAATAACTGTGAGTCTAAGATACTATATTTAAACAAAGGGGTTCCTCAAGGATCAGTGTTGGGTCCAATTCTATATCTATTATACATTCAAAATATTGAAAGAATGAATTTGATAGGAAACTATACCATATATGCAGACGATACAGTGCTTCTATATGAGAATAAAAACCCAAAAGTTCTAGAACATATCATAAATGAGGACTTGAAAAAAGTTGAGAAATGGCTTTATTCCAATCTTCTTTCTCTCAATTCTAATAAGACTCAATATATGATTTTTCGTCAAAGAAATAAACAAAATATTGATCTGAATATTAGAATAAAAAATGAACGTTTGAAACAAACTGCCCATACCAAATACCTTGGTATTTGGATTGATGAGAAATTAACATGGGGAAAGCATATAGACATCCTCATAGGAAAAGTATCTCCCATTATTGGTGCTTTGAGAAGATGTCCTAAACTTAGTACATATACATCAAATATTATTCTCTATTCACATATACTCAGTCGAATTAACTATCTCATAAATATTTGGGAATCTTGTTCCAAAAATAGTTTCAATAAAATTTCTGTTCTATATAAAAAGGCATTGAAAGTATTGTATCGTCTTCCATATGATACTCCAACGAATCAACTGTATAAGGAAACAAACACATTTTCTTTGGAAGAGCACTTTTTAATCAATACTCTCAAAATTTCCTATTATATCATCAACAAAAAGCTTAAATCAAATTTTATATTAATCAGGAATTCCGAAATTCATGATCATCACACTAGACAATATAACTTGTTTCATCTTGAAGCTGCAAATTCTAAACTTGGACAAAAAAAGTTTACACATGAGGCGATTTCAAAATTCAATAAATTACCAGATGATATCAAAAACAGCCCAAATATTATGCAATTCAAAAATAAAGTTAAGAAATATATTCATATGCAAAGGAATGATCAGAGCTGAAAGACTATGAATTTCCTTTTTTCTTTTTTTTCACTGTTTTTATTTTTACCCTTCTTGTTCACTATAATATGACTGTATCTTAATGATATGTAAGTTTTGTTCACTAGTTGTAATTTCAATTATACAACAGTCGATAATACTTCATGAATGATCTTATACCAGGAATTACTGTCTGATCATTCATGTCATTCCTACTAGAAAATTAATTATACTTTATATATTATTTGTATGAAATGTATCACTGAAGAAGAGAATGTAATGCAATAACTGAAATAAATAAATAAATAATTTAAAGGTGCTAAAATCATCAATAATGCCACGGTAATTTTCAAACGGCTAGAAATTGACCGCGAGTAAAAACTGACGTCATGATTTCGCAAGTAGGGGCAGACCATACCACAGTTGCCATTGTTTTGAAATGCGATTGGGGACTTCAGAAATATCAGTTATTCAATAATTCATAAATTATCAATTATGTATTAGTAATATTCCTTATTAGCAATAAAAAATCAATTGTCTCAAAATTTTCCCTCATGTGTTGTGGCTGATTGCATATTATACATTTGTCTAAATAATAATTATATTAATTCACACTAGAGGACATTCAAACTAGTAAACGTGACAACACGGCGCATGAATTGTCTTGTCAGTTCTCAGCCAGCACAATATTGCAAAGTCTCCAACATTAAAATTATATTTTGTTATGAAGGATAAGAAATATTTGGACATGCTGGTTGCTCGAAAAAGTCAAGAATGAACTTTATAACTTTATTCAAATAGGGCATCCTAATATACAAACTACATTCATTAAAGTTTCATAAATTGTAAAGTTTATATTGAATATTAAAGAATCCAAACAATAAATAGTGAAATGGAGAATATTTTATATAAAGAAAAAGAAAAAATTATAAGTATGTTTAACTATTGTCTATACTATCGACTACAAAAAAAGACTGAGGTTTATTGATATCTCATTTTCAAATATATAACAAGGGATTTCTTAAGAGAATCACTTTGTTTTATTTCATCTGGGAGGCCATTGTACTCTAGTAGTCCTTTATGGAATAAAGTGTTCATTGAACTAGTGTAATTAAGGCGTGGTACATACAGGTTATTATTACCTCTGGTAGGATAATTATGAATTTGATGCTGGAATATGATGAATTGATCAAAGTATAAGGGAGCATTACCAGAAAATATTTTGAAAATAAGTATCATTGAGAAATAAAACAAGCGATCCTTTACAGTTAGCCAATTTAGAACTTCAAGCATCGTTTTTGTTGGTGCATATCTATTACATTTCAATATCAAACGCATTCCTCTATTTTGTAACTTCTGAAGTGAGGACACAGAGTTCACATCTATCAGTGACAGTAAACAAGCACAGTAATCGAAATGGGGTTGAATAATGGATTTAAAAACTGTAATTGAAGTTTGAAACGGCAAGTACCTATTGACACGACTGAAGAAATACATTTTTTTTACAATTTTGTCACGGATATATTGAAAATGTTATTTCACGTCCAATGTTTGATCAACAATAAACCCCAAATACTTAAATTCCTCTACAGTATCAATTTTCTCATCATAAACATTTATACTTATTGATGTTTTGTCAATTGAATTGTGTCTATGTTTAGTTGAGATAATCATTGCTTTGGTTTTATTTGTATTTAATTTTAGTTTATTGATGTTGAGAAACTCAGTAATCTTGATTAGTATATCATTCATTTTATTAATTGCTGTCTGTAAGTCAGGTTCACTAACTGCAATGAGAGTGTCATCGGCAAATAGGTTGATGAATTCACATCCTTCCAGGAAGTTGATGTCATTTAGGCATAGTATGAATAATATGGGACCTAGAACACTTCCTTGAGGTACACCATTACTGATATTTTCCTGTCTTGAACATGTACCATTAACCTTGGTATGTTGAGTTTGGTTGGAGAGATAGCTTCCAAACCATGCAAGTACAGTACCTGATATCTCATAGTATTCGAGTTTTTTTAGTAAAACCGGAACATCGACGGTCTCGAATGCTCTTTTGAAATCTAAGAATACTGCAACAACATATTTCCTGTCATCAATAGCTAATTTCCATTTAGATAGGGAGACTTGTAGGGCTGTTTCACATGAGTGTTTAGATCTAAATCCTGATTGGTTAGTCATGAGAAGCTTATTACTCTCAATGTACTCAATTAATTGTTCACAAACTGCCATTTCAAAAATTTTTTCAAGAGGGGGTAAAGTATTAATTGGATGAAAATGTATAGCTTCATTTGTATTTATTTATTTAATGTCATGGCATCCTCCTATTATGTTTTATTCAACGACAGGACTCTAATATATTTTCGAAAACTTGATTATAATTGATGACTTGACAACCTTGCGTAAAAAGTGGGAATAGAAGATCATTTGACCAATAACGAATCAGCATAAAAACTGATGACACCATTTATTCGACGTATCGCCAAATGGCGGCCATGACGGTATGTTTGAAATGAGCTCTGAAATTCAATGATTTTTAACAACGCATAGACTAATTATTTACATAAAATAAGCGTGAAAAGTGTTGCAAAAATAAATTTAGGTTTCTAACGGCACAGGGGAGTAATTGAGTGCCGATAATTCATTATCAGTCTACTGGCCCATTCATTTCTATAAATAACTGTTTTGTTCTGTGTAGAGACTGCAAAGGTCGTGGAAGTACAAGTCATAGGGATTATCCGTATCCTGGACATTCAAGTGAAAGGAGTGGTATTCATTTCGACCAGCGGAAAATTCCGGTAAGGACCGGCGGTGTCAATCAACCGACATATCATCCTGGCCATAATCCAAGAAGTTCAGTACCAGGCTCTACTGACAGAAGGTGAATATTGAATATTTCTATCAGATCAAAGGACCCAGAATTTTTTTTAAGCAATATATCTTTAGACAGGATATGATTACACATTTTTCAACTTCTATAATCTATACATTGCATATTCAGAATTCAAGAAAACCCCTAAGCAGTATAGAAAACTGGTAACGGGGAAAATAACTAATAAGTTACAATGGAAATATCATAGGCATTCACAGAATTGATATTGATTTTTATACAGTTGCATTTTTCAGGTACTTTTTAATTTCCTTAATAAATAACTTTTCATTTGGTATTTCCTTAATTGCTTGTGGTATCGAATTATATACATGTATGCACCTATTCATAGGATTATTTAGTGCTTCATTTGTTCGGATATTTGGAAGGTATATTTTATTTTGATTTCTTATGTTATGGTAAGGTATTTAATTTAGGTTCAAGAAATTTATATTCGTTTTTTGTTTGTGATTGAAATGCAAGAAGCATCCCCTGTTCTTGTGATATTTGCTGAATAATAATTTTTCAATCACAAAAAGTATTTAGGAACTTTGTTGTTCAATCTAAAATACTGCGTCGGACGTTAACACATTTCAAAGTCATTCGGATTCTCGTATTTTTGGTTGCATATCATTTTGATATACATCAAATATTGATTATTATTCAAATATCTATTCACATATAATACTCAGTTGAATTAACTATTTCATAAATATTTGGAGATCTTGTTCCAAAAATAGTTTCAACAAAATTTCTGTTCTATATAAAAAGGCATTGAAAGTATTGTATCGTCTTCCATATGATACTCCAACGAATCAACTGTATAAGGAAACAAACACATTTTCTTTGGAAGAGCACTTTTTAATCAATACTCTCAGAATTTCCTATTGTATCATCAACAAAAAGCTTAAATAAAATTTTATAAT